ACGTTCTGGAAAATATTAGCGTTTCGTGTTCGTTTTGACTTCGTGTGGACGGGGCCTCAGCCATCAGTTTTGAACATTTTAATGAATAGTGAGTTCATAGCCAATCAGAGCAATCCACAAATCTCTATTCACTGGATTGCTGATGGGCCGTTGGTAGTACAGGGTGCTGTGAAGTCACTGGCCGCCATATTGGTACTCCCTAGTCAGACCGGTTGGAACATAAACAACATGTGCGCTACAGCATCAAACAATGATGATGTTCTGATTTTCAGGGGGCTTAAAAATAAAGATAAAGTCATCACTTTGACACACAGTTACTGTTTCATAGCATCAGTAGATTACTGTGATCTATGGTAAAAAATAGTCACATCACATTGGATAGTCATTATGAAGTCCATGAAGTATATAAATCATGTAATATAACATATTAAACAAATCCATCACAACCAAATTGGTGTGTTAATGGAGCGAAATAATACTGTAGTCAAATATTAAACTCACAGATACACGCACACACACTCATTTCACTATATATAGTGAGGACCATGTGTTGACTCCCATGGACTTTCATTGATTTTCAGTCATTTTCAACCCTTTCTATGCCCTAACCCTAAAACTAATCCTAAACCTAACCATTACCAATGCATACCTCACCCTTACCCTAACCCAACTGACACCTTAGCCCAGGGGTGGGCAATTCCAGTTCCTGAGGGCCGGTATCCTGAAGGTTTTACATCCTTCCTTTATCAAACACATGGCTGAGTTACCTCCTCAGTATGCAGTCAGTTTCTCACAAGTCCTCTCAATCAACTAATTACTTGATTCAGGTGTGTTAAACCAAAGGCACATCTAAAAGTTGAAGGATACCGGCCCCCAGGAACTGGAATTGCCCACCCTTGTCTTGGCCCTAAACCCAACCATTAGTAAAATAGCATAAGAGGACCTAGCCTCGTGAGACCATCCTGATCTCGAGAGCTTTCACTAGCAGATCAGTCTGGCTACTTCCCGTTAAAGAAAATTTGGAGCCGTTCACCAAACGAACGTCCAATCAGCGTTGGCTTTGAGGCGGGTTGAGGTGTGACGCAACGAGAAGTGCGACAGTTCAGTCTAAAGTTTTAGTTTAGTCTAAAGGACATGGCGGCTTCAGCCGATGAAACTAGCGTTAGCGTGGCTATCGAGCAAGTTTTATCGGAATTACAGAGTATTTCTTCACTGAAAGAAGAGCAAAACACTGCTCTGGAGGCTTTTCTCAGAGGAAAAGATGTTTTTGCTCTTCTTCCGACTGGTTTCAGCAAGAGTTTGATCTATCAATTGGCTTGTGCCTGGCTTGTGGTTGTGTTTTCATCGTCGCTCTGTTAGTACGTCATATGCTTCGTTGATCTGATTGGTTTATTTGGCCCGTCTATCACCAACATAGGCCAATCAGCTAACCAGTATTTTCGCCCCTTCCCAAAATTACTTCAACGGAAGGTTTCCAGATGGATTTGCTCCGCATATCCATCTGGCGGAGTCAGGTTAGAGAGGACCAGCAAAACATCCTTACTGTGCAACAACTGGTCCTCCCTCTGAGGGCTAGACAGGTACACACATACACACACTATCTGACAATGTGCCAAAAGAATTGATTACTATGTTATGGTTATTATATTACAGGCATTTTCAGTGGGGAGAACCAAGATGGCGGCAGGTGACTTCAGTTTTTGGACTATCAGCAATCCAGGGAATAAATAGAGATCAGTGGAGCGATCAAAGAAAGCCATGGACAGCAGAGAGAGAGGCAGCATGTTAGAGAAAGAGATGCACAGTAAAACTTAGAAGGAAGCTCTGGTGGATTCATCTACTTATTCTAGAAACATTTGGCAGTTAAAAAGCAGAAAACTCTTATCAGAACGTGTTTTTGGGAAATGTAAAAGAAAACAAAGTTACATTGCATTTAGAAATCTTTGAATCATTACTTCTGCCGGTGAACACATTTTTTAATATCAAGTATAAAGATGGTGTGTGATCCCTCTTTGTCTATTGTTGATAGTCTATTACAATTATCTGTAATACAGAAAATATGATTGTTTTATGGGTTAAATGAAAATCCCCACCCTCAAAATAAAGTTGTTTTTGGATGCGACCTGAAAATGGAAAAATATATCAAATATATAGATATAAATAAACCAGAACTACATTTTTCTTCTCTATTAATCTTTGCTTTTCCATCACATGTAGAACATATTCAGTGTTCTGTTTTAATTTTCAACCCCACAAAGGGATCAGAGGACGGCTCTATGCTGACAGCGCTACGAGTGCAAAATAAACTTTTTCTGTTTCGTCAATATTATTTTTTCCCCTTTCTTTTTAATAGTTGCCTTCAGTTGGATCTTGTTTTCCTGTTGTGGACAAAACAGCATTTCTAAAGGAGATTATTTTAATTGATTCAGATTATATTCATTTATTGTCTTTCCGGTGAAAAAGAAGGTTTTCACCAGTGATAGCTAGTCAGGTTAGTTCAGTCCATTTTCCTTTCTCTGCTTTCAATTGACCTCCAACATAAACTTTTAGCCGTAACTTTGTAAATAAATAACTGAAGTTTCTTCTGCTGTTTAATTTCCTCCTGTCTTGTTTTTGTAAGACTCTCCACTGAGGTGTCAAGTATTTATTTAATGTACTAATGTTCTAATGTTTCTGCATCTCTTATTTGAGAATTTATTTTTCTACTTTTTACTTTTCACCCAAACATTTGAACACACACCTATTAATAATGACATGATGTAACAGCTGCATGAAAACGGACAAAACCAGAAACGGAATCTGTTCAGCTGGAGCCCAGGGTGTTTAGAGAGAAAAACTGAGATATATTAGATTTTAAATGTACATGTTCATCAACTTTTAAGTTCTATTTCAGTTTTTTGCGACTGTAATGTATTTAATACCAGAGATCGAAAAATATTTAGCAGTTAATGCAGTTCAATCTATTATATCTGTTATATTACATTTTCATTTAGGACCAAACTAGAGTTAGTATTCTTTATGTTCTCTCTACCAACACAGTGAACAGAAGAGGAAAAAACCCTGCTTTCTGTGTATAGGACAGTTTTTAAGATATTTTCTTCAATTAAATTTGACCAGTTTTCTATTTTATCATCATTTTTTGTACTTTACTGATGTTTAACACCTCTGCTCTTCCATATGTGTGATAAAAACATCTGTGACTGTGATTGAAAGCTATCAAGTGTTATTCTGATTGGATAAAAGATGAAAGATGTCGTTACAGCTAGCAAATCTCTCCACAATTTGCAGATCTACATGTGCACTCATTCAAAGAACATGCATGTTTTTAACCTACACTAGAAAATTCTCCCACAAAAAAAGAAAACAAAAAGAAATGCTGAAAAGTCAAAGGTCAGTAATGTTTTACACATGAACAGATGTGACAGTTTGCTCATTTTTGTTTACAGTCTTTAAACTTTTTCTTTCTTTTTGAGAAAGGCATGGTTCTAGTGCCCCCTACTGACGAGCCAACACTGACTCCCGCCTTTCATTAATCAAGGTTACCGCATCTTTCAGATTCTAAACTCCAGCTAGGCTGCTGTAATTTCCCTCTCACTCCCTGGAGGGAAACTTCTCTGCATGACCAGGAGGTTAAAGGTCATCTCCAAGCCTGTCTGAGCTGTGAATCAGCCAAAACATTTATCAGCAGGTTTTGTAGCTGATAGCTGATTCTACAGAGGGAGCATTTTATCTCCTGTATACGGTAGTTTCCTCTTTACATAACTAAACTTTCAAAGTAAAAACACCAGTTGATGGTGACAGTTGGTTTTCAGTCCTAGCTCTGCTGGTCTCTTGCAGTTTCTAATAAATGATCATCATAGACAGTATGATGTTAAATTTAACTCATCAAAAGTACATCCCCATTTAAACCCTGACTTTCTTTCGAAACTCGTAAAGTGTCAATCAGCATGTGCTACAAAGCATTTTTAAATTTCATAAGCGTCACTTTTCAACTCTGGCCCAGGCCTGGGGGGGGAGAGGTGAATATTGAGATTACTGATGAAATATGGAGCAGTATTTGGAACTCTGCCAGAAAAAATTGTATTTGTAATCACACCTGGGCATTGCAACTTAAAATACTACATACACTGTAAAAAATGGGACATCTAAATGAAGCATTTGTTCTTGAATTGAGGTGGTAAGTGAGATACATTGCCAATGGAACAAGACAATTTACATTTAAAATAAGAAAAAAATAATTGCCTTGTCTTATTTCAAGTGCATATTATCTTAAAAAATGGGACATCTAAATGAAGCATTTGTTCTTGAATTGAGGTGGTAAGTGAGATACTTTGCCAATGGAACAAGACAATTTACATTTAAAATAAGAAAAAAATAATTGCCTTGTCTTATTTCAAGTGCATATTATCTTATTTTAGGAGTGGAAATACTCATTGCATTGACAAATCATCTTATTTACCTGCTAAAATTAAGGTTAAATACACTTAACTTAGGATTTTTTTTACTTATTTCTAGATGGTTTTTGCCTTGTAGAGCTCACCTGGCCCCAAAATGGATGTCTACGTTTAAACCAGAGTCCTATTCAATGTGCCCTAAATGCAAAATACATGAAGGCAGCCTCGCACACTGTCTCTGGTCATGCCCCAAGATCTAGATATATTGGTTATCTGTTCTGGTGGAGACTATCGAACTAATTAAAACCAATATTGACCTCGATCTAGTGTCTCTTCTCCGTGGTCTACCAAATAAACAAATCCAAAATCAAAACAAGAGCAAATTGTATAATTTTCTGTGCTCGAAAGAATATTTTGTTACAATGGCTTTCTAATAAACCTCCAACTATTTTTGGATGGAAGAAGCTTATTTTGGAATATATCCCTCTCAACTTTCTAACATGCGTCGTCCACTCTAAGACTGACACTTTTGGACGCATAGGGAAGCCGTTCTTGGACTATACTGAAGGACCAAGTCTACTATCCGGTCTCAAGCATTCATAAATACTTAGATTTGGACTCTATAATGAGGGAAGTGTGTATGCCCTCTATCTTATCTTTTATTTTCTGCACTGCTGAGCTTGTTTTCTATGTAGTTGTTGTCATTAAAATGCAAAATTGATAAACAATTATAAAAAACTCATCAAAAATGTCCTTGTGATCTGTTGTGTTATATACACTCCCTACCTTTGAGTGTCTAACAGACTGGCAGTTAGATGAGGGCAGTTACCATCAGCGCTGTATGTTTGTGATTTGGCTAAAATGTTAGAGGTCTTTTTGTGTTATCTTCATACACTTGTTCCTTTAATCTTATTTTTTATTTGATTTTATTCATGTTTTCTTGTATAGTATGGACTGACTTATCCATACATCCCTCTTAGATCTCAGCGTTTTCTCCATATGTTATCCAGAATTGAACAGCTATATGGGGACGGGGCTTTGCAAGCTAACAAAAGAAGCCAAACGACCCCCATTATAAAGAGGTGGACCCATTGATCCATCTCAATTTGCATGTTTTCTAAACAAAACAAGGCTTTGATAGGCTACTGTATAAAGCTTGGAACTCAACATTATTCCTGACGTTTTGAATTGAAAAAGCTTCCTGGATGGGAAGCGAAACGTCTTCAAACTTGGAAACCAGGTCCAGTGGATTGTTTTTTTTTTAACTTTTTTGGAATTACTATGACCTGGATGACTGAGAATCTTCACCAGCAACATCTATAAGATAATTGACATACAAACTTCCTTAAAAATTTTACAGAGGTGGAGAAAAGAAAATAGAACTGCATGCAGAATAGCTGAGGAACTCATTGCTACGGCCGTATCGTCACCACAGTCAGTGCGTTATTAAAAGCCTTTAGAGATAATAAAGAAATGCACCGAGGGAAGAGAAAGTCATCTGAGTTCAGTCTACGATGATCACACTGCTTTCATTCATGCCAACTACTTAAACCCACGCAGACCTTCAAACTGAAAAACAACACATGCTGATAACTCTAGCAGTTCAGGACAAACAGCCAACTGTTCCTCTGTTAGGCTACGTTCACACAGCAGTCTGAAGTGATCCAAATTTTTTTTGCCCATATGTGACATGGATCCGATCTTTTCATGGCAGTCTGAACAACACAGACTCAATTTTTACCAACGCCACCCTGGCTTGGCTCTGTGGTCCTGAATGCGATACAATCTGATCTTTTCAAATGTGACCCGAGTCTGAAAGGTCAGGTGGCATTCATCTGACCTGTAAGCCATTAATACTCAACAAAGGTTGCTATTCTGTGTCTTGCTACACAGAAACGAGAAGGAAAACAACCATGGTGGACGATGATGCAGAGGGCAGTTTTTATTTTCAACCACCTTGGAAAGAGTTTGTTGTTAATGCAATGGTTGAGGTTGGGTAAGATCAATAGATGCACTCCAGAACAACCATCCATGTTTATTTCTATAAACAAAGAGCACGCTTGCTACTTGTGATGTCGTTGCGTCCTCTCCTGCACATGCGGGACACTTAGGTTGTGTGAATGAATCTATTTGGAAATGTGAACAACCAAAGAATCGGATTTCACAAAAATATTGAAATTGAGCATTAAGGCCTGAAGTGTGAGCATAGCCATAGGCCATAGGCTACATTCACACTGCAGCCTGAAGTGACCCAAATATGATTGTTTGGCCCAGGTGCGACCTGGATCTGATCTTATCATGACAGTCTAAACAACACAGAACCGTTTTTTTCCAATGCGACCCAGGCTGCTTGGCTATGTGGTCCTGAATCCGATACGAATCTGATCTTTTCAAACGTGAACTGTGTCTGAACAGCCAGGTTGCATTCATCCGACCTGAACGCCATTAATACCCGACAAAGGTCACTATTCTTGGTCATTCTATGAAGAAGCGGCAAGGAAAACAACAACCATGGCGGACGATGATGCTGATAGCAGTACTTATTGTTTAACCATCTTGAAAAGATTGAGTTTTTAAGGTTGGGGAAGATCGCTAGATGCGCTACGGCACTACCATTTATGTTCACTTCCGTAGGCATGCTGGCCTGTGATATCATTGCGTCCTCTACTGTGCATGCGGGACACTTGCGTTGTATGACTGCAGTTCACACCGGAGAACACATACAAGTTGCATATATTCGGAAATGTGAATGGCAACGCAAAAAAAAAAAATCGGATTTCACAGAAAAAAATTGGAATTGAGCATCAAGGCCTGCAGTGTGAACGTAGCCTTAGACTTAAATTGAAGCCAAAGTTACGTTAAATATCATGCTGTCTAAGGGCAAGAGCTTTGTGACTCTCTGAAATCAGCCGTTTCAGTCCTCAGCAGCATTAGTCAGTGGGAACCTTTCAACCCTGACAGAAAGGCTGTGCATGTTCTGATCCATGATGCACAAGCCATTTCTCCTCTTTTACCTCAGCCTACTCAGGAGATCCCGTACCTCCACCACCGGGAGCATTGACCTGGGAGATCTGGCAGGACATACAGCCAAACACTGGTTTCTAACACATCAGCTCTCAAGGATTCATAGCAGAACCACATCTTTATGACACAGGAGCAAAGAGTGAGGAGGGTTGGCTTTGAAGCTGGCCTACCTGTTGGTGTCTTTCAGACCGACGTAGGCCTGCTTTAACTCGTCTGCGTCCTTCAGTTTGTTCACATCTTGAGCGAACACTGAAGGCTCCGTCATCGTCTCCTAGGAAAGAGGAGGAGGAGATGGTTGGGGAAGTCCTCAAAATGACCAAGAACTAAAGAGTTCAACCTGCGCATTGAATCAAAACTGTTTAACTAAACCTAAGAATTACAGTAACAAGTGATGTTTTGGTTATCCACAATATTCTGCCTCTTTGTGTAAAACTTCATCACTTTGGGGAAATCTAATAATTATTACAGGAAAGGCAGCTGTGAAATGAGCACCAGGCAGACCACAAAACAATGGTAGTGGAGACGAGAGTAAAGAAAACGCATTTTAACACACAGAGGATGAGAAAGGTGAAAAAAAAACCCTGACTTTAACTTTACTTCTATCACAGGAAATAAAATCTAAAGACCTTTAGCCAGAGGAGTAACTTCGTAATGTAAATTGTAATGTTTTCTGCATGCATGCTTTTTAAAGCCACATAAAAGCTGTAAAGGTTTGTTACTAAGGAGACAGAGAACGTTAAACCAGAACAAGAGAAAGAAAAATCAAAACATTAACGTCTCGGTTTATCCACTGTACCTTCTCATCCTGTGGAAAAGCATGAATGGTGGAGAGAAGGTGGAGACAGAGCGTTAGACACACGGCTGGGACAGTGAGAATAGAAGCAACACAGGCAGTAAACTAGCAGCTGTTTGATTATTGTAAAAACTAAATGGCCGCTGATATTTCCCATCTTTTTATTTGACGCATTAATCATGGAAATGACATCACATCAGGAAGCAGAAACATATCTGATGCATCCTATTAAAAACAGATAACATGATGGAATAAAGAGCAGCTGGATGACAAACAGCCTACTGCAGCATCCATCTACGTTTATTAATGCGTCACCAAACCAGAGCAAACAAACCTAAATGTTTTTCTCACCTTGTGGTGCAAGGCCTCCTTCTGGCTGACCAGCTGGGAACGAAGGATCAGCACCTCTTCCTTGCGGACCTCCAGCTCCTCGCAGGAAGCGTTCAGCTGGTCCAGGAGCACCTTGTAAGCCGGCGAGCCCGGTGCCCCGGCACCTGTGGCTGCGTCAGCGAGCAGGCTTTGCCTCATCTCTGCCAGGTCGTGTCTCAGCTTCTTGTTCTCAGACTCCAGCTCCTGACGCTGAGCGTTAGGAAGGTTCAAAGTGACATTGTTTTTTTTTTTAAGGTGGCATCATAATGATGTTTATTTATTCCACAAGTGTTGATGTTTTTGAAAGCTTAAGAGTTTTTTTTACTTACTTTCAGGGACTCATACTCTAGCTCTGCTCCACGGGCCTTTCTAAACTGTGCATCATCCTAAAACAGAAAACATGTTGGATTAAATAAAGATACTGAAATGATGGTCGACTGATGCTGATATTAATCAGGATCTTAAAAATAATTCATTTTATCAGAGCAACTTTTTTTAAACAGTTTTTCTATAATTCTATAATTAGTATGGAAACATCTAGTGGCGGTTCTAGATAAAATGAACTAGGGGTCCGGGCTGGGGCCCAGTTTATATGAATAAACCAAGGTTTCACACTTCTGTGGCTCTGCTTAAAGCTGTCTGTAATTTATAAATAACTGTTAAATACTGAATTGGTCAAAGGGACAAATACCGAATTTGTCTGAATGTCCACCCTTTCAAAGAATGTTACGCCATTTTAAATGAGTGTCCGAACATCTAGTGGATGACAAAGTAATGGACTTGAAATTTCCCACAATGCACCTTGAAAGGTAGTGATCAGCCATGTTCACTAGACGAATAGATATATCCTGGAATGCTTTGCGTGGAGAGCTCTCCTCGCAAAGCATTATGGGATTTGTTGTGACAGCGGCCGGCTGTCGACAACTAATAAAGATGGCGCAGGCCATCGCGGTGGAGGAGGAGTTACATGACTATAAAGTCCACTATATATTCCCCGCTGTATATAGTGATTGAATGATTTAGGGGTTAAGGTGTACATTCACACACAGTAACAGTCTCCTCTGTCATTGCAGTTACTCTGCAAAAAACTGATCTAAAATTTTTTTAAATATTTTTAAAATAAGTGCATGTTACCTTAATTTCAGCAGCTAAATGAGATGATTTGCCAAAGCAATTAGTATTTGTTAGTGTTTTCAGTACAGGGGCCAACAGGAACCGGGTCCAGCAGCGGCCCCTGACTAGAACACCCCCATGGATAACTCTAGCCTTCCAATCAGAAATAGTCATGGTTCTGTAGCCCTGAACATAGACCTACATTGAATTTCGGCTTCTTTATTCAAAACCCAACTTTCTGAGCTTCCTGAAATAAATCAACTGGATCAATCTTTTTAGATGCAGCTGAATAACAAAATAAAGACATACAGATATAAGAAGCATCTTTGATCTGCCTATAATGGCTTATAGTCTGGTTTCAGAGGTAACAGAACAGGAATGGGGTACAATATAATCCAGAGAAAAGTGAAGGGCTGCCTGCAGCTACCCTGGCTCTAGCCCGCTGGAACTGGTCCTCTTTGTTTTCCAGTTCGTTGCGCAGCGACTGCTTTTCCTGCTCCAGCTCTGTAACCCGTTTCTGCAGCTTTAGAGTCAGTGAGGTATCCATCCCCCTCGTCACGTCCTGTGTGAGAGATAAAATAAGAGGTTTAAACATAAACACCATAAACCCTTTTTCAGTAGATGAGGGGACATGACTTCTGGTATGGCGGTGTGGGGGTAGGACGCGATCTGCAGAGCTCTCAGTGAATTTGAGAAATATTTTTGATTTAGTGTCGCATTTTCCTAAATATTGTGGTTTACAAGATCATAAATATGTGGTGAAACCTTCTGGTGTGCTTGGTGTGACTAAAATGAGTGGGAAGCAGAAATCCTTGCATCAAACGTCCTCCAAGAGGTTGACTAGTAAACATTCGGCTATGGCGGGGGAGAAAGCTAGTGGTGAGGAAACCGTCTCCATGGTTCAACTGGTGTCTGAAATAGATAAACAGAGATCTGTGCCTAAAGATGACATCTACACTTTGATTCTAGAGTTACTTAAACAAACTGCTGTGGACGGTATTAAAGAAACTGACAATACGTTTCCAGCAAGGTTGGTGTCGACTGAAGCAACAGCTGGTGAGAACTTTGAGTGACTGAACGCAGCCGAGGCAACCATTAAAGCTCTGACAGCAGTTAACCAGGACCTGTTAGATCGGCTAGAGCAGGGATGTCAAACTGGTTCCAGAAAGGGCCGTGTGGCTGCAGGTTTTCTTTCCAACCAAAAAATAGCACACCAGACTCCAGTCATCTCATCAAGTGAGTCCAGTCTTAACATTATGACTTGATGAGATGAATGTAGTCTGGTGTGCTATTGCTTGGTTGAAAAGAAAACCTGCAGCCACACGGCCCTTTCTGGAACCAGTTGGACATCCCTGGGCTAGAGGATCTAGAAAACAGATCATGCAGGTCAAATCTGCGCATTTTGAACATTGCAGAGGGCTGCGAGGATGGCAAAGACCAGGATTCCATTTTCTATGTCTAGAGATGGGTTTAAGTATTTAGGGATTAATCTAACTCCATCTTTTTCAGAATTGTCTAGTAAAAACTTCACCCCTCAGTGGATACGCTAAAATCTGATTTTCAGGGACGGACTGGCATCACTCTGACATTGGTTGGTAGAATTAATTGTATAAAAATGAATGTTCTTGCTAGATTTTTTTTATATTTTCCAGTGTCTCCCGGTTTGTTTGCCAAAATCATTTTTTAAGTCTATACATAGGTTTATTACATCATTTATATGGGCAGATGAAATTCCCAGAATACAGAAAACATTTCTCCAGAAACATCGCTCTGATGGAGAATTTGGGATTGCCAAATTTACAAATATATTATTGTGTGGCAAAATGCCAGAAGATACAATATTGATATCATCAGTCATCTGATCATGTCTGGTGAAGCCGAAAATAACTCATGTCTTTCAACATCACTTCCAGCCTTTGTAACCTCCAGAGTTCCTATATCCATTTCATCATATTCTGCAAATCCTATAGTGACGCAAATTTTACGTATTCAGCTTCAATTCAGAAAACATTTGGGCCTTAATCAGTTTTCTGTGCAGGCGCCCATTTGCCATAATCAGGCATTTATTCCAGCTAACATAGATTCAATCTTTTTGAGATGGAAAAGACAAGGCCTTCTCAGGTTTAAAGATTTTTATAAGTCAGGGGTTTTTGCAAGTTTCAATGATCTATGTGTTAAATGTAATCTTACCAGTTCAGACTACTTTAGGGATTTACAGATTTGCCACTTTATTTCTATCAGCACACCAGACTTTCCAAATGAACCAGAGCCTACTGTTTTTAGGGTTTATTCAGGAATGAATAACTCAAATTTAATGCTTTTTAATGCTCTTAGAAATAATTTTAATGCCACCAACAGGTACCAGTCGACAGGCTGCAGCCATGCCCGTTTTCCAGCCACTTTTGTTGAAATTGCTTTTTTTTCTCTCATTATCTAGCTTTTTCTGCGACTCAAGCTTCTTTTCTGAACATACAGCTTTGCGATCAACCGGAAGCAGTTCCACGCAAATATATCGTAACATAATATGTCTGACGAAATTGTTTTTATAAACATTTTTTTTTAACAAAGCATTTTAAATGCCACAATAAACACATTTAATGAATTTTAATGCCAATTAAGGCCTTAATTAAAAAATAATAATTTAATGACTTTATGATTTTTAATGACCCGCGGAAACCCTGTGTTTTGAATATTTTTGCACTCTCTCCTAAACTAAAGGGCCTCATTTCTAGATTTCACTCCTTAATCACCTCACAAGGGGAGAATATTTATGTTAAGGTGAAAGTTAAGTTGGATAATGAAATGGGAGAGGCAACTCCAGAAAGCTGGTGGCGTAAGGTGAATGGGACTACATCCTGTACAAGTTTAGCCTTAATCCAGTTTAAAAGCTTACACAGAATGCATTATTCTAAAGCTAGAATAGCAAAAATATTTGAGAATGAGGATGAAAATTGTAATAGATGTCATTGTGCCCCTTGAACTTTAACACATATGTTTCTGTCATGCACATCTTTTAACTCATTTTGGTTTGGAGTGTATAAAACGATATCTGATATCATAGGAATAGATTGTCAGCCTAATATGTATACCTAAATTTTTGGAACAATACCACTGAATAGTATGGGTAACTCTAGGTTCAAAGATATAATAGCCTTTTCAACTTTGATAGCTAGAAGACAAATTATTTTACACTAGAAATATTCCTTCCCACCAAAATTATTTGAATGGATGTCTGATCTAATGTTGTACCTCAAATTAGAAAAGATGAAATATAAACTAAGAGGGTCCAGTGATCGGTTTTATGCTGTTTGGAATCCATTAATAAAATATTTCGAAAAGCTAAAGACACTTCCTGAGAATCCCTGAGAGTAATGCATCGAAACCTGATGGCCAAGACCTACAGAAGTTAAGCACATATAATAAATAAGGCTTTTCTTTTTCTTTTATGCATGGTAGGAATGTGTGTACATATATGCACATACATTGTTAATTTTTATTTTGTGTTTATGCTACTCTTAAGTGGTTGCATTTTGTATTTGTATATATAGTTTGTAATATAGTTCTGAGAGGTGGGGGGAGGGAGTGTAATTTGTAATGTTAAAAATAAAAAAACATATCTTGAGCAAAGAATGTAACTAATGTTTGTTTTGTGTTTAATAAAAAGAGATTAGAAAAAAAAGAGGAGGGGACATAAAAAGGTGGTTTCTCCTCCATTTAAAGCTGAAGCCCCTACATCGCCGGCACGGTGACCCTCTTCCGATTCGGCGTACTCTGAGTTGTAGGTGTACTCTGATTCGTTGCTGCTGTGGGTGGAGTCTGTTCTCCTGTGGCCGGGTTTGGAGACGTTCTGCCGTAACAAGAACAGAAGTTTCTTTAATGAAAACAGCAAAAAAAACAACAACACTTTACCGTTTACAGATTAAGAGCTAAAAGGGTCCAATGTGTTGAAATTTTGCATCCAGGATATCAGAATCAGCAGAACCAATTTAGATGTTATGAATATTGGATCTAAAATGTTTCTTAAAATTAAGGGCTATAAAGAACTTCTTTAAAAAACTATTTTGTTTAGGAATATTCAGCTCTTTAGATATCATTTTCTTGTTGAGTATTTTAGTATTAAAATCTTTAAAATGGAGCAAATTGTTTTTAAAGTGAAAATCCAGAAAAATTTCAATAGAACTTCTATTCCTCCTCCTTGTTCCAAACAAAGGAATTAACAGGTTTACCAATAAGTAGTTAAAGGCATGAAAGAGGATTCTTCTCATAAAATTGTGTCCAGATTCATCTAAAATGACTTAATTGATGGATGGCAGTCTTGCACTCTTTTGTGTAAACTGGAGCATCGATGGCTGAAAAGAATCCAGACAAACCTAACCAGGTACCAGATCCGCTCGGGTGGTCAGATCTGCTCAGGGCCCTGCCCCTTCTTATGATGTCAACATATGGCAACTCCACTCGGACAAACTGTATTGCAACCGTTTCTTAAAGATCAAATCTCTTCTGGAGTCTCAACATATTATTACCCGTATTTGGTATAATTTTACATTTCATCGGCGATCTAAAGTAGCCGAAAGTAGGAAACAGTCATTGTCAGTCTTGAAGGAAAGTACTGTGTTCTAAGACTGAGCTCTGCCATTTAACAAGGTGACAAAAAAAATCTCAGCTTATTTTCCTTCTTTTTATTAAGATCTGAGTGCAGGGAAGGACAAATGGGACATCTTGAAAAGCGACTTTCAAAAAGATTTTAGAAAAATAAAACAGTTGTTCTACTTGTAGAAAATGAACGGTTGTTATTGACACAAATTTAAAGTAGTTAAGCCTAATATGGCTAACTGACCAAGCTAAAAGAGGCTAACCTTTTTATGGAGGTTTATTCTCGTTAATAGGGAGTTTTTCCTCTCCACTTGAACTGTAAAGTGCCTTGAGATGACATGTGTTGTGAATTGGGACTATAAAAATTAATTGAATTACCTCTTCTAGCTACTAAGCACAACTAGCCACAGCGCTAGCCAGCTCTCCTCCTTTATATCATGGTCTAAGAGTTACTTTGTTCACCATAAACAAATTTTTCAGTTTTGTTATCGATCAGGTAAAACTTCACCGGTCATTAGACACGTTAACGCTACAGATGCTCCCGACTCAGCACACTGACGCTGCCTGATGTTATCATCATTGTCTAAGCAACAACAATTTTTTACATCATGTGGCAATGAAGCAGGACCTGAGAAGATCTGACCACCCTAGCAGATCTGGTACCTACAGCGGAAAGGAAAGGCTTTTTTCCATGTAGTTGAAAAAAGGAGAGAGAGTGGGAGGGAGCCGAGCCAGTTAAGTATGGCGTGCCCCGAAGGAGCAAAATAGTCTCAAATGGATGCTTTGGTTGCAAAACGTATGCTGGACAGATAAATTAAGTTTAATTTTATAGTTAATACTGTATTTGATAACGCTGGCAGAGACGACTTCTTATGGAGGTTTCCTGCTGACTAGGTAAAATACAGAATTATCGGCAGAGGCGTTTCCAGCGTAAAGACCTTTTGTGAAGGAGGGGGCACTGACACACAATTAAAAAACACATAAACCTGGACATATCTTCCACCACAGAATCCTCTTCCCTGCCTTTAAACTGATAAAAAGTAGAATGTGCACTATGAGATGAGGAGGAAACCCATTCAACAATATTGAAGCAGGAATCTGTGTTTCCCGCCAGTCAGTGCTCCTCACCGAGGAGTGAGCAAACTCCTCCTTCAGGTCCTCGTATTTCTCCTCCAGGCGAAGGTGTTCTGTCAGCAGGTTCTGGTAGCGAGAGCGCTCCTCGTTCAGATCCGTCTCCAGCTGCTGAGTCTCCTGTGCGATCGCACGAGTCATTTTCTCTAACAGGGACGACACAAAGACAAGTTTCAGACAAAACATACGATTATTTATTGACCAAAGTGTTTCTCTTTCTTTCTCCTGATGCGGTAAAATCGGGGCAGCTGGTGGAAGCGACGTACCCGTCATCTGCTGACCCTGCTCCTGGATCCTCCTGTTCAGGTCGTCTTTCTCCTTCTTCAGCAGTCCATTCTGATCTTTCAGCTCGGACACCATCTAAACATTAAACAATCCAGCGCTTAGATCTTGTGTGAAGCTGCCATCACTACATTAACAGAAAGCTATTTTTTTTTCAACTTGAATTAAAAATCGGACCAATACTTGGACGCATAAATGGAGATAATCTTTTGGTTCTTTTCTTTACCATTCAGAGCTACTTAATCGGCCAAACAATAAAAAAACAACAACCAGGAGATCATATATTCAAAGATAAAACAATGGCTTTAAGACTTAACTACTGTACAAAATTAACTTGTTTGGAGCCCATCCAGGTTTTTGAACATCAGTTTTTTACCCAGAGCGTCTAAAAACTACAGCATCCTATGTGCACCAGCAGTCATTCTTCTGATGTGAGGTGAACATAATACTGGAGAGCAAAGTTTCATACATCCCAGTGTTTCTATTTATAGGATCTTTATCTGAGACACTCTCAGGAGGATGTAAGCAGAGAAAGTTAAAAATAAACAGAGTTCTGAAACTGAAAACCCTCCCAGAAAATCAGAGAAGGCTCAGATTCCTTCCTTCCTTTCTTACCTTTTCCATTTCGTCCCTGTACTTGTGTGCCCAGTCCTCGATGGTCTTCTTCTCCTGCTGGGTGACGCTCAGCTCCTTCTTTAGCCTCTCCAGCTCCTCCAGCAGAGACAACACCTGGTTGGCTTTGTTCTTGGCGTCCTCCTCCGCCCCGCGCAGCCGGCTCAGCTCCCCGCGCATGCGCTCACTCTCCGATGCGTAGGAACTCTCCAGAGTGACCAATTTCTCGCTTATTAACCGGTTGTCCTTATGCTATAAGCACAGGATAAAAAACAAAAACATTAACAAACCACGGAAAAAAAGGAAAAAAATCCGGATTAGGACCAGGACCTCACCTGCTCGTCGATCTTTCTCTGCAGCTGCATGATTTTGTTCTCCATGCCTTTGTTGAGCTTCTTGAAGTGCTCCACTGATCGGGCCTCAATCTTCAGCTTCTTCAGCTCTCGCTTGGCTCTCATCCTGCGGATGCAGCACTGCAGGTAGACGATGGCCTCCAGGCAGCGCTTGTACCAGCACCTGGCCAGCCAGCCGCGGACGTGCTTCTGAATGATTATGGCCTTATGCTCCCGCAGCAGCTGCATATAAATGACCACCGACAGGAAGACACTTTAAATCGAGAGAAATTAAACAGAACTTTGATTTTTTTTTTTTTTTTTTGGAATTCATCCTGTACAGATCAGACAATAGTTCCTGCATCCTTCTGTCACACTGTGTGTTGCATCTCACCGCCTGGTACTTCTGTCGGGCCATGTACGCTCTGAGGATTGTCTGCATGGCGAGAGCAGCGGCCTGCTTCTGTCTGTAGCGCTTCCTCTCCACACACATCCTCTGGTACTTCTGGATGACGGTGGCGGCCTGGGTGCGGCGCATGAACTTTGCCAAGCTACCCAGAAACACAAAAAAATTAAAATAAAAAAAGCTCCTTATTAAATGAAGATTTTTCATAACAATGACATTTAAGGATACACGAATATATTTTTGAGCAAAACAAACATTCAATTCTTCATTGCTTTAATTACTCTGTTATAACTATAGCTTATTACAGATGCTGGTTTTTCGGTTGCTTCACTATTTCTAGTTTTTATGAATATGAGGCTTTTCAGACTTTTATATCAATCATTTGTAGCATTTTACCAACCAGGGCAACATTGTTAATAATTTACACGTATCAGGTGATCACTTATAGTTATGTGTGGAACATATCATGATTATAATCCTGAATATGTTTCAGAAGTTCCTCAAATGGAAATAAGAAAATAAAAAGTGTAAAAAAAACAACTTTGAAATGTGTTTTTTTTTTCTTTAATATACTGTTGACTAGTACTAGTAGTGATTGGTGACTTTTAATCAACTTTTATTATATTTATTTATTTATAAGTCTTGTATTTCCCTCTTGGGCCAGAATGAGCTGAACAGCATCTATTTAAGTTAACCTGAGGACAGTTTTTACTGGAGTTCTATCAGACTTTATATAGAAATTAGTAAACATTTAATAAATTAAGTGTTATTACATTTAATACGAGTAGGTGATGTTGCAATGGAATGTATGGAAGCGTATTGCATTTACCAAAGAAAAAAATTTCTGACAGCTTATCATAATTAAGAGATGAGATTTAATAATTACGAGATACCAATCTCGTATTTATGAGATAAGGTGTCTGATTTATTTTATTTCTTTGGTGAATGCAATACGCTTCATAGGAATGAGTGTAATATAACTAGATAATATGCACTTGAAATAAAATAAGAAAATGCAAATATTTTTTCTTATTTTAAATCTAAATTGTCTCACCTTCTTATTTTAAGAAACAATGACTTAATAGATTTCAATTTTGTGTGTTATGTTGACCTACTTTACATGGTCCAGCTTATAATCTCAAAACAAAATCTTTTCTAAATATATTTCAAAGCTTCATGTGCATCTGTGTCAAAGACAAGGACGTACAAAATAAACTGATCGATTGGTTGAAGCGTTTGTAATACATGCGGCAGAAATGTGTGACCCACCCTTTTTTTTCCTTTTTATAATTGTGGTGCCAAATCCAGCTTAAATACTTCACATTTTCAGGATATGCCAGTATTAGGGCCGACCACCTACCAGCGGGCCTGGTATCCTCTGGTGAACCTCTGAATGGTGATGGCGGCGCTGCGCTGGCGAAGGAACTTCTTGCGAGCCAACCAGCAGCGGATGGTCTTCTGGATGCGGATGCAGGCGGCGCGCAGCTTGTCCGCTCGCAGTTTTTCCAGATAAGCCACCTGGCCGGCCCTGAAGAAGATTTTAGTCTTACCAAACTGGTACTTGTCCTGATCCTGAGGAAGCAAAGAAATGACAGAAAACAGGAAATGTTTTTAATTCTCACAGAAAAAGGAACGTATCGATTGGTGGCGGAAACGATTAGACAGAAACAGACAACAGAGTCTGTCTAACCTGAACTAATTTCTCCAGAACATTTTTGCAGGTCAGCTTCTTATCATGGAGCACATCCTTCTGCTTCATCAGCACTCTGTAACGGCTGAAGAACTCCTGGTACGTCCACCTAACAAATCACACACAGACAGAACTGAGATTTCCTTCCATGTCATCATGAAACAGGGTAAAAAAGCAAAGTACGTACTTTTAAATTCTGTGGTCTAATGTTTTTTCTTTTTTTTCATAAAGAAGTGAGAGAGATACGCTGCGCTTACCTGCTGTCTGTCCCCCGTTATTTTATTTTTTGTAAAGCTTAACAAGGATTACTATTTCATCTGTTTTCTGTCCTTCTGAACTCCTATCATGGGTAAAATCCTATACCCCTGTCCCGCTAGCTATATATGCGATGTGAAACTCCAGACCTGACCGTTTCCCTGTGCGATTAACAGATTTTATTTTGTATTTTCCCCCAAAGAGGATGTGTTCTACTTTGTAACGGCATCTCTCTTCCCATCAGACCCATGAAACTGCTGCTGAATTGCTGAGTAATCCGACTAAAATAGACCTGGGCTGTATCTCAGACGGAGCTACGCAGCCCCCTTGTGTAAAATCATATCAGGTGTGATCATCCCCATTAACTTTCAATGAGAGGTGAACGTCATGACTTTATCTGACACCATTTTCTGTAGGATCGGATTCAGTGTGTTCTGGCCCATTATTCAGTAAATAAGTGGAATCTGTCTTGTGGGGTTTAGTACATGTCACGTAAACTGGGAATAATTTTACAAGACAATAAAGCCAAGATGATTTTTAATCACTAACATGCCAAACAGACACAGGCAGTTGTTTCTAAAAAGTACAGTTTGATTTGAAGATTAGTGTTACTGTAGATTAGATGATGAACAGTGAGCTTCAGTATCAAACTGTGAAACAGTAAGAAACCAGCTGGGTAGCAGCATGGATGCTGCTGAGGTAAAAAATTCTCACTGGGTCATTTTATATGTTTAAATTACTTTAGAAATAAAGCTGAACCCTGTATGAAGCAATGGAAACAGAAAAGCTAACCGCTAAGCTAATTGCAGGTGCCTTGTCTTGTCCTTTTTTAAGCTTCCAGCCTCAACCTGCCGGATTTGGAAATATTAGCAATCTGAGTATTTAGGGCTACCAACACTGTAAGGCAGCTTTGCCAAGTCTTTAAAAGGCCTGGTTGCAGCTGTGGAAATGAAATTTTTCATTTCGTTATTTAATTTACAAACAGCACACTTCTTTGGTATTACAACTTTACAGACTGTTTATTTAGAAATTTTAGCCACTTTGTTGAAGTTAAAAGGAGAGAAGGTCTCCATTTTGTAGCATGATGCACCTGTTTTTGCTCTTGAGGGCCAGATAAATTGCCACAGGCCTTAGATTTAACACAAGCACTATTGATCGCATTAAAGATGCTAATTGTTACATTTTATGCTCTAAATTGTCCTTTTATTTCCACAGGAAGTGATGTACAAATTGAGAGCCAATTTGCCATGATTGTTGTGTCATGTGTCATGGTGAATAAAACGGCAAGCGCAGGTGGCCCCATCTCTCTCAGAATGAAACTCAAATACTGTCTGATGGTCTTATTTTCCTCTGCTGAAAAGGAATCCTGTTGAGAAACTGGTCTAAATGCTGCGTACTTATATCTGCTAACACTAATAATATATATTACAGAGAAAAAAAACAAATTAACCTCAGTAATCATGCTATCAGGCCCTTAAAAAAAATTTAATCCAGTTTTTGTGACTGAATATTCTCTCTCACACAGTGAGACGTCCCATTAGTTTTAGATCGACATATCTGTCCGATAACAAGAGACTATCAAAAAAAGATGGCTCTCTATGTTTGGACTGTTTTTAAGAAAAAAAGCTTGATTTTGCTCTAAACATTTTTTTAATTAAACTCTCTGATCCCTCCGTTAACATGTTATGAGTTTTATTATTTGCAGTAAACTGTGATCAGAACCAATTAAATCTGAAGTTAAAAGCTTTTCAAAATCTGCTCAGAAATCAGCAACTGAAATTATTATCATTTTTTTAAGGATGTTTTAGTACCTGGATGGGAAGCCGGCTGCAGAGATGCGGATGGTTTCCAGAACACCACAGGCTCTGAGCTGCTGCACTGCTCGCTTAGGATCAAACCTGCCAACAACACATAATGAGTCAGAGGAGAACATAGTCCTGAGTTTACTAAAATCCATCAAAGTAATAAAGGAGATGCAAACAGAGACTCACGAGAAGGCCAACTTGAAGTCGTTTGGTTTGATGCAGCGGACGTAATGTGGAGTGGTTGCGTTCAAAGTCTCCATCAGCATTTGGAGAGAGTTTCGGAACTGAGAGATAGAGAAGCAGCATCCTCTATCACTACTTTCATTTTGTTAGGATGTTTTATCTTGGGGGTGGGGGGATATCAGGTGGGATCCTGACTCCTTTAAACAGCATTGATGACTACCTGACAGCCTACAGTCTTCTTGTGCTCTTTGCTGCTCTTGTCTCGGCCTTTGTCCGGTTTGATGCTGAGCCGGGTCCGGCCCCCGGTACCGGGAACCTGACCAGTCGGGGTGGTTGCCTTCTCCTCGTCCTGGAACAGCTCCACCAGCAGGTCAAACTGGAAATAGCAGTCCATCAATAGTTAAAACCCAGAAGGTTGAGCAATAATAGGCAACGGATCTCCTCCATTAATAACACCCTAACTATAGAATCAGCAAAGTGCCTGCATCTTAAAACCACTAATATTCAGCTTTCGTTTTCAGCTTCATAGAATTTAACATGACTGTTTTTTACCCTTTATAAGAGAGACAGACGTGAAGGTTAATCCAAACTAGTTTTTCATCTTAAATAGGTGAGTAGATCTATCAATTAGTTCTACAGAAATTCACTGAGTCAGATGTTAAAAAAGGAAACAACATAAATGCTGAAAGTGTTAATGTTTGGTCATGTATGACGAAATGCAGAGGCCATACATGGCCGTGTGGCGTTATCCTGCCATAGTGTTAGGACTTGAGCACAGTCAGTCATGGCTCGTATAACGCTGAGGTTACACGATGAAGATGCTGAGTTATGTGTGCAGCTTCACGTCGTCCTGCTGAGTTTAGAGCCGGCGCCATGCTGCTTCTCTAACCGGCATCATTAAGCAGGACAGCCAGTTTGCCTTCAGCAGCTGCTTGCTCTCAGCTTCACTCTGAAAGAAAAAAATACCCGCTTTCCTTTGTCTCTCACTGTGATGAATCCGCACTCTTGCCCTGCAGTGCTACCGTTGCTCCCACCCCCATGCAGCAGACAAAGGCAGACACACAAACTTCCAACCCATCAGTGCTGTTAGAGTGTAATAACTCGGTGCCACGAGGTGAGACGAGGAAGGAAGAGAGGAAAGAAAATAAACGAAGAGCTAACGGCGCACCGGCGTTCTCAGAACGCATCTGTTTACCTTCTGTTGGCGGGTGAGATGGTCGTGATGAGGACACAACCAAACAAACATGGACAACAGATGGACACACAGATACAAAAAAAAAAACAAGTACATGTGGCATTAAAGTAAAAGTTAAAAGGAAACCCACAAAAAAACCCTCAAAATTATGATCAAAATTACAGCTCTAAAAATAAGAAAAAGTAAAAAAAAAAATGTGAATGGATGGAAACATGACTTTTTTCATAGACATTCAGTAAGAACGCTTAGATCTAACGTAGGGAAAAGTATTTTCCATGTGAAAACATGGTGATAAACATCATCATAAACATGAGGCCAAAAAATACGATGCAGTATTAGGGCCAGGCTAGAGATTTTTTTATTTTGAGAATAAAGTCGTTTATTACGAGAATAAAGTCGCAATATTACAAGGATGTAGTCATCATACCACAAACAGTTTCAGAAAGAAAGCTTTGAGCTCCAGCCAGCATATGACGGCCGGCCAGCAAACAGCAGCTTGATTCCACTTTGACATCCTGCCCAATTTGATGCTGGTGTGGTAAAATTTGCTTATTTTTCAAACTGATTTCAAAGTATAACTTCACAAAATGCCAAATTCCTCATTTTAAAGAAGACAGCGCTTCTTGTAAAAGTTGTCATAAAATATAACTTTATTCTTGTCATTTTAGAACTTTATTCTCATAGTGTTATGACTTTATTCTTGTAATTTAATGACTATTCTCGTTTTGGCTAAATTTCCGTAATGTTACGACTTTATTCCCATAAAGTTATGGCTTTATTCCTGTAATGTTACGGCTTTATTCCCGTAATGTTACAACTTTATTCCCGTAATGTTACGACTTTATTCAGGAAAAAGAAAAAATATCTCTATCCTGGCCCTAATACTCTGTCATAGATGATGCTAAAGGCAGATCAGAAAATAAAACACATGTAACGCAGGGTTACACATGGTGGGAACAGGATCATGCTGTGGGGAAGCGTTTCTCCAGTGGGAGCTGATAGGATGGTCAAAGCTGATAAAAATTATAGATTGAGCTAAATGACAGTAACCCTGGAGGAAAACACATTAGAGGAGATAGTGTATGAGTTTCATCTTCAATCAGGATGAGACTTAAAATGCAGAACACAGCAGTACGGTTTAAAACGTATTCAAGAAATAATAGGATGGCGTAGACCTAAATCAGACAGAATCTGCAGCAAGATTTGAGAACTGCAAGTAACACACTGTCCACCTTTTTAACAGCAGTTTCAGCCTCTAAAACTAACTAGTAGAGGCAGACCCCGAGGGTCTTGCAGCTGCACTTCCAGAGAATTTTTTTTTTTTTTTATTAAAGAGGTCTGAATATTAATACAGAATCTGTTTTTAGGTCTTAAAAACACATTTTCTTCATTCTAAATTATAACATTGCTCTACTTTATGTTGGTCACATACAATCCCTACAAAACACAAGGAGTTTGTGTTGGAACATGACAGAATACAGTGTGGCTCTGTTCACTTAAGTTAATGAATACATCACTTCGAGTATTAAACACAGAGGGAATTCAGCATTTCATTTTTCTCCTAACATGTCCAATGACATTGGGAGGAATGGGATGGCTCAGTCTGTAAACTCACAATAAAGCTGTCTGTATTGTTCCAGCATAAGAGATAAAATGAATAAGATAAAGATATTTAAAAAAGCATTAAACCTTTTTGATCATTGTTATTTATCATTTTAAAAACAGGATTTCCACTTTGTTTTAAAACTGACCAAAGTTTTGGCATAAGCAATGATCAGGTGGACTTTGTAGAATACTAAAAAAAAAAGACGCCAAATCTCATAGGAAGTTAATAACCAATCAGTCCTAATGTGTTTAATGTGTTTTAGCACATCAGGAGGCCTTCTTAGAAATTAAAGTTGCTATATGTCATTTTTGACCTCTTATCCAAATCTTGTTCAGGTCTCTAAGAGAACAGCTGGAGTTTACATAGGTACTGATAGGTTTAGCCTGCAATCTAGATCAACTGTAGCGAATTCCTAAACTCCCAAAAGTACATGTTGCCAGGAGCCAGCAGAGGCGTTAGCCTCGATACAGGGATGTTTTGGAGCCATGAAATGCAGTGACGTGTATGACATCACTGCAACAACCATAAAGAAAGATGGCTGTGTCGGTTTTTGCTGGATTACCCTCTATTTCTTTTTGAAAAACGAGTAAAGAGATGTGATGTGGATGGAGGATGGTTTCCCGTGGAACTGCAAATGAAGTTCCCACAACCGGATTTGGTAAGAGTTTGATTAACCCCTTGAACCCTACGGACCCACCGGCGGGTCCAGCTGCTACGTGACCTCGTAATTTTACCAAACCCCCAGTATTGATGTAAAAAACATATTTGGCACAGTTTGGTGACATTTATGGATAAATGTGCCAAAATGGCCTCTCCGCCTAAGAAATTTCTCACTAATACCATTCTAAAATAAATATGATTCATCTGATTGAGTCCAAATTTGGTATATTTTTACACAACATTTAGATTTGAAAGTCTGTACTACTTTTTTGTGCTATAAATAATATTTTGGTAGTGTTTTGCAATGTTTATTTCAAAGAAAATTTTGGCGAGGTTCAAAAAATGCAAAATATTTTGTATTTTGTCCCTAATATTTCAGGCAGGGTCAAAGCTACAATGGTGCTGACACCAGAAAACCATTCTGTGACATCTTACCTTTACAGACGTACCAAAAGTTTCTTCTTAAATCTAATAGCTTTGAGGCTATAAGTTATTTACTTTTGTGTGTTTTTGTCAGGCAGAAATTTATTTATACCCCCTTAGGGTGTAAGAGGTTAATTGGTTAACGCCGCCAGTTGTGAAACAAATGAAGCTGCAGCTGCTGCTGTGATTTGCTAAAAACTTGACAGGGGAGCCAGGTACCCAATCAGCTCAGAGCATTGCACTGAACGTCCCCCTCTTTTGCAAACACTTTTTACAGGAGGCTTTCCAGATCGATTAATGTTGTTCAGGGGTCGGCAACCCGTGGCTCCAGAGCCATATCCGGCTCCCTGGAGCTTTTTCAAAAATGTATGCAAATGGAAAAAAGATGGAATTTTTTGTTTGTTTTAATATGGTGTGCAGGAGTTAGAACTAACAATTATGTTTTCCAATGCTATAAAGATGTGTGTGAATAAAATTAAACAATAGATGTAAACATTTATGTCAAGGAAGATTTGTGGCAAAGCCTGAAAAACACGTTTCAGTGCGATGCGTGCCAGGCAGGTGGCTGTCATAAACCAAGCGCCGGGTGCATCTCGGGCCATGGATCCCTTGAGAACAGAGGAGTAGAAGAAAAATGGAGGGAATTATTTGCTTTCATTATCAATGCAGAAGGATTGCCTGCATGTTTGCTTTGGAATGAGAGATTTTAAAAAAATAAAAAGAGTAATTTGGAAAGGCATTTCCAGGGACGACATGCTAAATATGCAACCAACCACCAAGTTGGGAGTGAGAGAAATTTTGCAGAACTTCTGGATAAAATAGAGGAGAGCAAATTAGATTTAAGAAGAGGATTGCATCTTAAAACTCAACTACTGCTGCTAGTTTTGTTGCAAGCATAGAAAACCGTCCACAGATCAAACAGGTAGCGCTCTGATGCAGGTATGGGAACTTTCTTCCATTTTTTTCCCCAAATCCTGAAAATAAAAATAACACCAAGGAACGCTGGTGACGGAGGATGTGGGATTTCAGGGTTAGAGAGCTCTGCTTTGATGGATGTCAGTTCCTGCTTGGTTCCTCATGATTCAATCAAACAACAGAAACATGTCTGCTATAGAAAGATTCCTTTATCATGTTTCTATAATTTCATCAATGTAACAAAACATAATACAGACAGACGGCGCGGTAAAGGGGTGAACTCCACATGGTGAGAGCGTTCACTGCTTCTCCCTCACCTCATGCTATTATGCAATTTAAACCTAAAGCAGCAAATATCGTACAGCATATTCACCATGGCTTCATGCAGATTTATTTATTTTTTGGTTTAATATGACTCTGAACAGTTTGGGTTGCCGACCCCTGGTGTAGTTTACATTGAACTCTAAATGGTATCAATCTGGCTTCTGTCAGGTAACTGATAAGTGTGTGCTTAACAGGAAGAGAGTTATTCTTCAAAGGTACTACTGAAAAGATGTTAGGAAAAATAAATAAAATAAGCTACTTTGGATCACTGATGAGACCAAATGAGTGTTGTAGGTGGATAAGTAAAAACAAACACCTGATAAGATATAAAAAGAAACAGCATGGTGTAAAATAAGGTTTTAAATTGTGTCGATTTGTAAACCTGGCTTCGGCTGTTCAAACGGTTTTTGTTTTGCTGTTTGTTCGTCTTGAACAGAAGACTTAAGCCAATGAACCAACTTAGAGGTTGTTTAAGGTTTAAATTCAATTCAGTTTAAATTCAATTAATGTCTGTAAAAAAATAAAATAATAATAATAATGCAGTTTGTCTCCTTTCAATGTCCTAAAATGGCCAGAGGAGGGAGCCATTTCCCTGATCCTTCTATAGTTGGAAACTTCTGAACTGAAAAAGCAGCAGCTTTCCATTTTTTCCTGAAAATAATTGACTTTGACACATTTCTGAAGTCTAGCGAATCCCGTCTCGATTCAGGACACCTGGTTTGATCTATTTTAGGTTGAATAAACAAACTATGTAGGCGCAGAGTGTCTCACCTTGCTGGCCTTCAGCACATTGATCTGTTCTTCATTCACTGTGTCCTTGTTCTTCTCCAGGAAACCCTCACACTGGTACTCTACCTGCTCAACAACAACAACACATCCTGCTGTAGGTTTTGCTTTAATGTAATCCACACTGAAAAACAACAAATTGATAATAAAACAGTTTTACTGATGATGATGAAACCCTAATGGAGTCTTTGACCAGTTTATCAATCTTTACTGAAAAGCTAAAAACAGATGTGTGCAAATATGTCACCACTGCTGTCAGAGATTAACAAGAAGCCTAAAAATCCCCACACCTCTTTTATAAAAATCACACCTTAAGTTTGAGAACATGTTTGTCTATATTAGAGAAAACCTATTTTTAACCAAACCACTGTAGAACAATAAGACGTTTAACATAAGTTTAAGTAGAGAGTATATCTTTTATCTTTATGTGGAACAAACTAACCACAAGGATTGACAGGGAAGGGCTTATACTCATCTACTAATTATCGACAATAACTGGTGTAAAAAAAACTGAGAGAAAAAAAAAGATCTTAATCATTTAGTAGCAGACAGCAGACAAAAAGTAAAGCAAGAACGGTTATGTTCTTCCTTAATACAAAGACCACACACTGGAAAAATGATCTAGAAATAAGTAAAAATATCCTAAATATAGTGTATTTATCCTTTATTTGAGTAGGTAAATGTGATGGTTTGCCAGTGGAATGATTATTTTTTACTTTTAAAATAAGATAATTAGATATTATGCACTTGAAATAAGACAATGCAATTGTTTTTACTTATTTCAAGTGTAAATTGTCCTGGCAAAATGTCTCTTTTACCTCCTAAATCTAAGAAAAATGCACTTATTTTAAGAAAAAATTACTTATCTAGATTACGATTTTTTTTTCAGTGCACCATGGTCATCAGATCATGAGGAGGGGGGTGGGTCTATCTGAGGCAGCAGGTTGTGGATAAAAGCCTTTACAGAAACAGCCTTTTCTGTTCTACCATCACAAACATAACCAGAGTTAGCTAAAATGCAGTGGGGCTTTAATTAGAACCGTGTGCTTTGGTCAGCAGAGATATACAAGCACTGAACTGGTGGGCATTAAACACCCCTGGTGGTGGAGCATCAGACAGTAGATTATTATATGAAAAACCACCTCATACCTTTAAATGGCATCAGATATTCTGTGGCAAACCATAATCGTTTAAATTACAATCTGAAGAACTCAACCAGTAAAGTAAAACAAGGATCTTTATGAGGTCCATGGGTATTATAAAAAAAAAAAAAAGGGAAATATGGGAAAAAATACATTAGCGCAACCCACCTTATCAGCAAAATGTTGGATAATGAAGGCGCGGTTGGACATGCGTGGCTTCTCAAACAGGGAGCAGGTCTTCAGGTGAGTGTTGTAGAGTTTCTGAGCCCAGGAATCATCCGAACCCTTGGGCATCTGAAGACAAAACAATCAGGAAAAGAATGAACATTTGTTATGCTTTTTAAAGGTACAGATCTTGCTAATGTTTCCAGTGTAACGCAGGAAAAATCTCTGTTCATAACATCAGTGGTGCTTTTAAAAAGAAAAAAAGAAGTATTAACAGTGCGACCCACCTCAAAGGTCAACAGAAACGACATAGCAGAGCCTGAGAGCTACAGAGATTAGAGGCAATATTTGAGTATCTGCTTCAGATAAGGTGCAGATGGTGCAAACTTGAGCAATCTGCATTTTTCTGAGACTTGTATGTGCAGGAAAGATACATTTAGAGCAGGAGTCACCAAGCTTTTTAAGGCTGAGGGCTATTTCATGGGTACCGAGTAATAGGAGGGGCTGCAAACACTGATCTATGACATGGAGGGGTAAACGAACATAGTAAACCTTTTTATTGTTTCTTTCCTTTCTAATTTCATTATTTATTATTTATTTTATTTATCATTATTATTTTGAAATCTTAAAAAATACTTAGATGCCCTACAGTAGTAGCCATTTAAAAGTTAACCTTTTTCTTTGATGGGTCCTTGACTGGTCCCCTACAATTCCTTGTTAAACATCAATCTTTGTACTAAAATATTCTTTCCGTCATGATTTGTGGACATCATGATGTAAAGAGAAGCGACATCTCCTGGTCAGAGCCTGTAATTCAGTAAAGGGTGGAGTCAGAGTAAAAAAAATTGCAAGAGGGGGTCACTGTGGCTGGAAGTTGAAGGGGATTTCGCTATGAGTTGAAGGGAAGTGGGCTGCCATTCAGCTGGCGTTTGACTGGGAAGGGCCGTTTTGGATGGCTGCTACTGTATATGAGAAACAACTCAAATTGCTCTATAAATGATTCAAAAAGAAGAGCAACAGAATAAAATCAAATGCTACACTTTGTCCACTGGTGAGTTGTGCTGTTTTCAGGAGACTAGGACTAGGACTGAGGGGCACCGCGTTGGTGACCCCTGGATTAGAGACAAAATAATCAGGAGCAGAATGTGGACAAAAGGACCCTAAATAACATGAACTACAGACAAACCTGCAGAATAAACATGTTTTGCTTATTTCAGTTTTGTAGAAAAATTCCCTGGTTTAAAAAATACAAAACAAAAAAAATTATCCTTTTTTCCCTTATGATCCTTGTGTTGCAAACAGTGGCTGTTCTAGATCTAATGATCTAATGTACCACAGGGCCAGGAGGGGGCCAGCATGTTTTCATTGGGGCACAGAAAAGCATTAAATAAAAAACAGGGCAAGAGATTCAAATATATTAAGAGAGCTGCATGAGGGGAAATTTCTATTCAATTAGGTTTAAATAATTCTATGACTTATTAGGTCAATATACGTTCATAATTTAGGAATTGTACACATTTTTGACTTAATTTAAGTTAAAATTACAGTTTTCTATAAAATCTAAATTAGAACTCAAGTAAAACTGATAAATTCAGCTGTAAAAATTAGAGTATTTGTTTAGAAAAAAACATTTAGCAGATGGAAACTGGTATCCTATCACAATACCACTGAAGCTATCACTTTGTTTTTGAATAATAAGTAAAACAGAATTTGTAAAGAAAAAAAATGAAATAGATCCAAAGGACCTATCAGTAACCATGTCTGTTCCAGCGCATATCATCATTAGAATGTCTATGAGTATTACGTCTTCAGTACAGGGGCCATAACAGAGGCCAGGACATTATCTACAGGGACACTGGCCCCCGTTGGCCCATGTCTAGAACCGCCCATTGTTGCAAACATGTTCTTTTGAGCATCAAACACCATTGATGCATTGTTCTGACTTCAAATAAGAGGTTCCATGTTTCTAGTTTCATCTCTACCTTGCACTCCTCGTCCAGCAGGTCCAGGATGCCCATCTTAGCCTCTATGAGGTTGATGCAGGGCTGATTGTCGTAAAAGTCGATCAGCGTCCAGGGGATCTGCTCCTTCATATATTCCTCCTGCTCCAGCTTGAACACATGCTGCGCTCACACAAAATATACAAAGAATAATTACATAAAACCTTGTTTAGCACTTTCTGAAAAGAAAACTAAATCAAATCACTGTAAATAAGATCAGTTTGAAGTGTAGTCACCATGTTGAATTGCTGCTGGAGTTTTTCATTAGCGTAGTTGATGCAGAACTGCTCAAAGCTGTTGATTTCAAAGGTTTCAAACCTGAAGAGACAAAAGATTGTATATAAAGCTGTAGAACACAGGGAAACTGCAATGTTAACACACTCATACTTTCTGGAAATGTAGAGACTCTAAAACATGCCTTCAGCTGACAGAACGACCCAGAGCAGCAGTTATATCAAAAGTGTAAAAAATATATAAACAATTATCCTTTAAGATTAAAACAAAAAACTTTGTTCAATCTGCTCTATCCTGTACTTTACGTGTGGAAAAGTTTTAGTTTCACCTGGTCTAATTTAGTATAAAATCTTCTTTAAGGAGCCTTTCGCTATTTGATTATTATTCGATTAAACGAAAAAATAATCGACAGATTAATCAGTTAGTTGCAGTACTAAGTCAAATTTACTGCAATGAGTAAAACTTTGAACAAGGCATAAATAGACAGCAAGCATGACGCTTAACACAACATCTTTATGGTGCAACATAGAGGTAGCTGCATCATGCTGTGGGGAGGCTTTTCATCAGCCTGAGAGGGGAAACTGGAAGGGCAGATTGATGGAAAATCCCAGAAGAAAAACCTGTTAGATGCTTGAAACCGAGATGTAACCCCCCCCACCCCCACCCAGCAGCAGAATTATTATGGCCTAGTCAAAGTCAAAGTGAGATTTAATTAAAGACTGATAAGATGATGTTCCTAGAAGGTCTTTAATAAAACTGACAGAACTTGAGAAGAGTGAGCATTTTCTTTTCTATCTAGATGCTAGGGGTGTAAATAATAATCATTTTGTATCGATGCATCGATCCAACAGCCGACGATCCGATGCATTGACACGTCCGCAAGAGAATCGATTCATGTTTTTTTTTTTCCTCCGGTCTATTTTTGTCCATTTGCTCCTGGGCGTAATTCTCCCTCCCGTGCTGCGGTGGCGCTAAACCTATTTTGCCCTCCTACCTCGCTTCCTGGTTATACTCTTACAGCAGTGTGTTGCAGCAAGCTTGACACAGACATTTTTAAATTCTGCTCAATATTGAAGCGTGGTCTGAGCTACACGCTGTGGGTCTAGATACGGCCGAGGCGGCGAGGAAGTGGGGCGAGTTTAGTCCGACGACGGAGGGACATGAGGGCCAAAAAGAGCAGAGATCCAGGTGGAAAAAGGGTCCCAGCGTTCTCGCGCACCTCGCTCTTCTAGCGGGTCAAACTTCATGAGTTGTTTTCCGCAATTTCGGTCATAAAAACAAAACAAGCCGGCCTCCTGTCTGCGGCACTGTTTGCGGTCAGCTACAATTTGGGAGAGGAGCAGCGGAGCGTCTCTCAAGGGGGCGAGGACATCTGGAGCCGAGGTATTGAATTGCACTCATTGCACTGATTTTGTAGAGTATTTTTGCAGTATTTTTTGATGCAGCTTTTCTACTTCTGTTATTTGCTGTTGTTTCTAAAAAAAAATGCATAACGATATTACAGCTTTCATTGATTTATTTCAAACTTGCAACTTTATTTAGCCTGTAAGGTGTAAAAAAATAAAAATAAAATAAACCGATTGATCGAATCGAATCGTGGTGTATTCTTGAGTATCGAAAATAATCGAATCGTTGGGTCAGGAAATCGATACTGAATCGAATCGCCATGATGGGTGTGATTTACACCCCTACTAGATGCACAAAGTTTTTAGAGGCTATTTACGAAGAGTATGAATGGTGAAGAGGTTTAAGATGTATTAATGAATGTGGAAAAACCTGAAGTCTGCAGGCTTTTTGGTTTATCTGACAAACTTCTGGCTTCATGGTCTTAAGAGTATATTTTCCTCTTCCTGTCTCCTCATTGGCTCTCTGATCCACTAACCACAGCTCATGCGTACCCATAGATGTCGAGGACTCCGATGAAAGAGTGTTGCTTAACGTTGGTGACCAGAGCCTTGTTTACGTGTTCCACGATCCAGTTGAACAGCTTGGCGTAGATATGTTTGGATAGAGCATCGCGAGCGTTGGTGGCCTGAAGGCGGGGGAGGGGCTTGATGTAAGTCTCCGTGGCCGTCTTCAGCTTCCTGTGGCACAGCCAATGGGACATGTCCTGATAGGTCACGCCCACCAGCTCACAGAACGCCGTCAGATGCCGATTGTTGGGCTGAAACAGAAAGCCATAAAGGTTCATTTCAGCAGATCTCAGCAAACCTGACCTTTTTTGGTCTAATGTTAAAGAAAAATTATTCAGTTATTGTGATGACGCCATTAGTTTGCATGTATCTATTTAATTAAAATCCAAAAATTCGCATCCTCACAGCAATAATGCTGCTGTCTGAATCTCTGTCTTTTATCTCCACATTTCCGAGGTGAAGAATAGCAGCCAGAACCTGGAACAAGCCGATCTGATAGGACTCGTTTATACCTGCAAAAAGCAAAGACAGACGAGCACATTTATCAAATATAGGAATATGGAGCATTTTAGCAGCAGGAGAAGGCAAATCTAAAGGTTAGAAGTTCAGTAAAAATAAAAAACAGAATATGTAGAGACACAGAAACGTCCTAAATGTGTTACCCAGAAGCGTGAAGGCGTGGCGAGTCGTGCAAAGCTCTTTGGCGTCATCTACACCTTCGATAACAGGGCTGCGACCCTGCCTGGTGTAGAGGAAGTCGTTTGCGCTGCCTGAGAGGAGAAAGATGGATTACTTCTGGATAATCAGACGTTTTTACCAGAAACTCTGCTTCTTCTCTTTACTATATTAACACTGAAATACAAACACCAAAGGCTAGAATGTCTAAGCTCATCAAATATCCAGATGGCAATTAAGAGCTAAAGAGATACATGACATAAGAAATGGTCGGCAGTAGTGAAATTTTTTTTGATTTTGTTTTAAAAGTTTCTAGATTAGAGGGAAGGAAAAAAATAGTCAGGAAACACATTGGAGGCCATTTTCTGCAGTTATACAAAGAATAGTTGCAAACTGCTGAGGGTTTCTTCCTGTTAAAATGGAGTTTTCCTTTTCACTTTCACTACATGCATCTCAGTGTGAGGGATTGCTGAAGAGTCTACGACAAAATGCAAGCGGAGGTCGTCACCGCAGGCTCATCCAGGAGGAGCATGTGTTGAAAGTTGACTAATGACTGGATGCAATCAGCTGGTTATACTAACCCATCTGACAGCATCGTCCTTGTAAAGTGCCTTCAGATGCAGTTTTCGGCCAAAGGCCCTTCGTTTGGATAAACGATGCACTAAATATTCCCTGCTAAATAACAGCGGACCATTTTTGATTAGCTGGAAACTCAATCATCAAAAACCTCATTTTCCAATCAACAGATGATCAGATGAACAGATGAAAAAATCAAAGACTGTTCTTTTTATTGGAAATATCTTTAAAACTCAGTTTACAGCACCTGCCCTCTCACACAGTGTGACATCACCTCTATCTATGATATAACTAATAAACCCTCATGTCATACAACAGAGGTACAGGAAAGTTTTGTTTGTTTTTATTCTGCTCTTGAACTTTTTTAGAGCTCTTAGAGAGAAATCAGACACGGCCAAACCGATGAAAGCTTTTTAAGAGCTGAAGATCAGAAATCAGACATCATCAATCTGATTGGTACGTCTCTAATATCTATGAAACGTCCAGATCTGCCCAGGGCAGATTTCAACTCCACCATGTGAGATGATGAGCTTCTGCAAGACAAACAAAATCAAAAGGGCTTCTGTCCTAAAGTGATGACACCCCTAAGTTTCTCACAATCAGGTTCTTTATTCACAATAATTACTAAATTAGGGTATAGCCTGTTGCCTGGCAACAAGAGGCCCCAGCATTACTGTGACAACCTCTCCTTTAACAGAGCCAGGAAGTCAGCAGGAGATGAAGACAGCAGCTGTGTGTTCAGGATGAGCAGGTGCAGGTCTGCTATGGGAGTGTGTTCAACTACTGACAGTGTGTTAGCACAGCAGGAGCATGACTGGATCCATCTGAACATGATCACGTCCAGCGCCGCTTTACTAAACAAACTGTTCCATTCAAACATGGTAAATATCACTTTTTATGCTACTCAAAGTCAACGCTCTTAAGGCAAAATACTAAAATAGGGAACATTTTTTATAGCATTTGACCATTTTTAGTAATTATTTGACATATTTAACACTTGATTAAACGTTTTCTTTTTCATTTTCATCCTATTTCAATAGAAAATGAAGACAGGAGCAGCAGGACTCCTGTACAGTTTGCTCCCGCAACATAAACGCTTCTTTATGAAGCCAAAGGAAAAGTCTTGATTAAAAAGGATATGGTGATGTGGAGATTTTATGACCCTGCAGCTTTAGCTGAAGGCAGACATGTTGAAACTCTTCACAAAGAACCTGCTGGTTATCCTGATACTTTGAACTTTGAAACTCCATCCAGTGAAATCCAGTAAACTTTCTCCAGCTGTTTGGGAGATAAAGTTACGTAGCACCTCCCCTCCCCTACCTGTTGCTGAGCACTGATGGTCAGCTGAAGAAAGGAGCTCCTTACTTTTCTCTTGCAAACAAAATACGAAACAAAGCACCAACTGAGCTGTTTAGAAATATTCCATGACAGAAGAAAACTTGAAAACGTACAGAATCCTTCCTAGTCGAGGTATATTTTAAAAATCAAAAGATGCCTTACTGTAGGCTCGCCACCAAGGCATACAGCCCCACATATTAACCCGCTAATAACAGATAATTAAAGAGGGAAATGGTAAAAAGACAATTTATACATTTCAATAAAAATCTTTTGTAAATGTAACTAATTGATTTGAAACATAAAAAGACGGATTTTAACTAATTGCGATCATACTGCAAACATATATTCCCAACCTGCCTTCTCATTGGTTATTTGGTAATTGTAGTAGATGTGCAGAGAAACAGCAGTTAAACGGGTCATAGAATGCAAACAGAGTTTACATCGTCATAGATGAATAAGAATAGTTCAGTGGGTGAAATGGACGTACAGAGAAGTTCAAACCCCATCGACACCTCCTTTCTCTGCAAATCTCACAATTCTAAACTTCCACCATAAAACGGGCAAATCCAAACGAAGCCTGAGTTGAAGTTAATTCTGGGATGTTTCCTTATTTGGTTCCTGCCTGTACTTTTGTCACACCCTGAAATTGACATACAGACCAGCCCACTGGTTCACTGGCCCAAGAACATAAATAGAGGTAGATGGAAGACAACAGTTTAGCTGTTTAGCCTACAGTTGGGTTTACTTCTTCAAGAATTACGAAGCAGGAAGTTTCTCTATTGAAAATTAGCCAGAACAACGGGAGTAAATACAGTGTTCCAGGCTGCACGGAGAAATGGGAAAATTTTCATTCTTCCCAAGGATCCGAAGACTTGACAAGCATAGATTATTTTTGTCTATCAGAAGATCCCTGGAAAGTTTGATGCTCAGCTGTTAATTTGCTCTAAGCATTTTACCGAAGACAGCTTTCAAAATATTGGACAGTTCAAAGCAGGATTTGCTAAACCTCTTTAACTGAAACAAGGGGCTGTTCCCACCGTAAGACCATCACAACCGCAAGCCATACCTTTTTTTTTTAGGTATGCCTAATGCCATACCTAAAATGATGACATTTGTTTAGGTATGTAAAGTAGGACATGTCCACACAAACAATTCAGAGACCTTAAGGACCAGCACCAAATAACCTATATAATCGTTCTATGACCCCTCTAAATCCAGAAGGATCAGGGATATTTTAACCTGCATGCAGCCTCCCAGAAAGTGTTTCCTGATTTCCTTTGCTGTAATGTGAAGTATGTGAGGAGGTAGAAGTACAGGTTACTTACTTAGCCTCAGATTCTTGAACTCAGACAGATTAGCCGATGCACAGAGTTGATAGAAGATGTGGTAATTCCTCTCCTCGTCCGCCTGAAGGCCAGCAGGGAGAACAAATAAAAAAAAAAAAAAACATGATAAAATGTGATGGAAGGTAAAACTAGATGAACCTAGAATAAAAAGATTTGATTTGTGAAATATTTGCATTATAATTGATGCATGATTTGACAGTTGTTGAAACTGGAAGATCTGGAATCAGTTCTTTTGCTCCAGGGCACATAAAAACTGGAAGCTCCTGACACGTCATCAACAATCTGTGCTACACCAGGTGCAAACAACACCCGCCCAGTTTAAAACTCGCAGCCACATCAGATGGAGGTCTGGCTCACTGTGACCCACATGGAGACAGAAAACACCCAAGCAGAGAATACACACACACACACACACATAGAAATGGGTTTCTAGAGCTAGAAACCCAACTCTGCCAGCAAAGAGGTTCTGTTCAGAAGGAAAACATCTGTTTTTAGAGGCTGTCTTCCAGAATCTATGCCAAAAGAAGCTGCTGAATAATTCACACATATGGAAACTGAAAGAGTAACGTGAAATAAAATGAAACATGATTCTTTAAACTCCAGTTCAGTCTAAGCAAACCAGGAAGAAAAGGCAAAGGAGGCTTCAGACATGAGGAAATGAATGCCGAGCTCTTTTAAAATAAAGACGCCAGAACCAGACTGACAACTACTGGCTGGGCAGACAGGAAAAGCTCAGAGTGGGCTTGGTTTCTTAACTAATGTGTAGATTTGATTACAGCTTGGAATCACAGATGCTGATAAGCTCACATTTATTTTGGGATAAACTGGTGTTCATTCAAACGGTAAAAGAAAAAAAGAAAAAGATAATTTCTTTCTCAAGCTTTGCTGTTCTGTGAAATCTGCAACACAATCCAAGCAAAGGAAACAACTCAGTCAGGCAGAACTTGCTTTGTTTTGGCTGACATTAAGCAGATTTCAACAGACTTGTATCAGCAGGTTGACATGCCAGTTCTGAAGTAATACAGCCCTGCTGATGTACAACTTTTCATACTGCATCTTTTTTAACCCTTTGACTTTAATTATTCTGGGTTTTAAGTTGTGATTAATCGATTATTGAAATAATCGTCAATTAATTTCGTATCTGATTAATCATAAACTGGAGTATAGAAACTCTAAAACATGCCTGTAACTGGCAGGCGACACTCTAAGAGCAGTAGTTATACCAAGATTGAAAAAAATATATAAACATTTGGCTTAAGATAAAAAAAAAATGTTTTCGTCTGTCAAAATGCTCTATTCAGAATTCCTCAAGTAGAAAAGTTTTAGCTTGATCTGGTTTAATTTCGTAAAAAGTCTCCTTTAAGGAAGCTTTGCCTCTCCGATTATTAAATGGTTAATCGAAAAAAATACTCAACAGATTAATCGATTTCCAAAATAATCTGTAGTTGCAGCCCCAATCTTCAATTCTCAAAAAAAAAAGTTCAAAGTAGGATTTCAGATTAAAGTTTAAAGAAGCCATCAAAGTGTATAAACATCCACTGATCTAAAGGACAGCTGCTCTGCCAATGCTAGACGTCTCCTTCAGGAGGATCTTATTTAAACCCTGTTCTTGCGACTCTGCTAAAATGTTTTGGTTCGCTGTCATTCCTCAGGTTGAACTTTCACCTCAATCTGCAGACGTTAGCAGCCACAAACAGTTTTTTTTTAGTTTTTTTTTCCTGTTTCGATCGATCCGTCATCCCATCACCAATAATCAGCTTATCTGTCTCGGCCATGACTCTAACAAACAGTGTGGTTTAGTATCAGCTTTGGGACGATACATGCTACCTTTCCCTATGACCAAACTGATGCATTGCACAACCAACTGCTATTTTTCATTGAGATCCCTGTCATTAGCAAATGAAATAATCTCTCCCTTTGCAAGCATGTGGCAACTCTATTCACCAGGACTGAATTTTATAGTTTCTGCATCTCTTTTCCCCACACACCTGGAACACCACTCTGGATTTCTCCAGCAGATATGTTCTCATGTTGGCCCCGATGATGCGGTATCGATTGTCGAAGCCGATCTCGATGTATTTGCCAAAGCGGCTGCTGTTGTCGTTCCGTGTGGTCTTTGCGTTTCCGATGGCCTGAAAAACAAATGAGAGAAACACACCCTCGTAACAATTCAAAGGGGCATAAATGGTGACTTTAAATTAGTCATGCAGGACACATCATCTCAGTCCTATCAACATATTAAAGTAGGACACAGGATTCTGACATTTATTTAATATTCATCCTCTTTAACAATTAATCCTCCTGAATTCACTGCTTTAAATGCTAAGTTATTAATAATCTTTAAAATTATATTTCCACTAGTTAAATCTGTTAAAACCTTGCAGGATAAACCAGACATGTAAAGCCTAATGGTGCCCTGATACGCCTTGTCCATTTCCAATACGATACAGATATGGCAGCTTTAAGTATTGACCAATACTGACATTGATATCAGCACAAATTATACATAATTTAACCTATTTTGTATTGTGGGATGTTAGAAAAGGCTTGAACAAATGATATTAACTCAAGCAGAAAAGAATAGTGAACATGAAAACATTCGACCCATGTATTATTAACCAATGGGTCCCAGAAACTTTAAACAGAGGGGAACTGTTTCTGTTAGCTTCCCTATTTCTTAGATTTTTAAATACAGGCTGATCAAATCCATTAATTTTATTTCTGCTAATATTTGACCCATTTCTGATACCAGCATCTTCAGTGGCGCCATAAAGTCTGCCACCACCGTGCTTGTCAATTAGTCTGAGGTGTTCCTGCTGAGATTCTAGGTTGTGTTTTTTACTTAAAAGGATATTGTTCCTTGTGTTAATTAGTAGAAAAAAAGCTTCTTTTCATGATAAACTCTTCTAAAAATGCAAACCAAGAAACGCTGAATTCAAAACAGAGCTCTTTGTATTTGCACTAAATATACTATAATATATAAATTAGACTAAATATGGTCAAATGTCTTTTCCCATAGAGAAGGGCAGCATCAGCTGCTTCTCTAAGCGAACTGATAATGTCTCCATCCTGGCTTTGAATTGACTGAAAGCCGTATATAATGGAGTTAACCTGGCAGTAGCCAGACTGATATGTGTAGAACTGAGTTAAGTTCTACGTTATCAAACTGGGATGGCTGCCGTTCAGTCTGTCTGTGAAAAAGAGTGACTTTTATTACAATACTTCGAGCTGATTGGGTGAGGGGCCAGCTAGTACCCGCCTTCCATAATACACATGCAGCTAATCGCAGCATCACAATAGGATTCATCTGCAGTTTCTTGAGTGTTTTCACAACTAGTGGAGTAAGCTGATAAATCAAACCACCAAAGCTCTCAGGGGTTAAATCTGTGCTTCCACAGAGAGCAGCTGGATGTGCTCTCTTCATCCTCTGGCATGGGAGCTGGCTCGGAGCTCGTCTGCCTGGTTGTGTGTTTCCTGGATGGGGCTGCCTTTTACAGTTGTCTTTTGTATCTCTGCTTCTGTCTCCTTGAACCCCAGTCTGCCTCAGCAGATGGCCGCTCACACTAAGCCTGGTTCTGCTGGAGGTTTCTTCCTGTTTAAAGGGAGTTTTTCCTCTCCACTGTCGCTATAAGCATGCTTACTGTGAGAGACGTGTTGTGAATTGGTGCTAAATAAATAAACTGAATTGAATAAAACTTTTTCCAAATGCTGTCAGAAGAAAAGCACAGACATCTTTCCCATCTACAAACGCACAAAGTGCTTCTCTTTGCTACTTTTTTTAAATGAGAAATTCTTGCTATTTTAGCTAAAACCGAGTCAATTGCAGTTTCAACAGGTGGGTCCACCAGTATAGCCATGTTTGTAATGCCCCAGCAAGGCCGTTCTGACTGTCATCATTCCTACATGTCCTGCCCCAAAAAAGCACTGCTGGCATCATGTCATTTGTCCAACTCACTGGTTGTTAAGAGATGTAGGTATTAGCAGGAGTCTTTCAAGATGGATTTGCTGTGAGACTGAAAACTCTGATCTCACGACCATGCAGCTTGCAGCGCAAGGTTATAATGCAGCAGCAAACTGGCTTAAGTTCTCTTTTTAGAGAAGTGGCAGCATCGATGATCTGTCAGATATTAAGGATAAGCTCCAACATCCAATGGAGGCAGCCAGGAAGGCTCCTTTTCCCTCTGAAATATTAATAGCCTTCAATATTCTTTGGATGAGATTTTAATAAGTTCAGAACCTGAAAGACATTCTTGTTTATGAGCAGATGTAAAAAAAAATGTGCAGGTCAAATTAGAGTACAGTACCTTGCTTTCATATAACCTTGCTTTCTGCACGGCGGTCTAATGAGACGGTACCTTCACCTTCTGATCTACTGTACGCATCCAGATGAATAAACAGCGGTAGCAGATCCATTGAGGATCACTGATCAGTGAGCACAGACGGGTGGGGCCGCGTGAATCCACACATCAAAGCCAAATACCAGCTACCCTGAACAGAATTAGATTAAGCACGAGCACAGAGGGTTCTTGCTGAGTTAAGTCCAAACACACGGTCTTTCACTGCAGACAAGGAAGCATTCAGCAGAGCAGGTATCGCCATGTCTGCCAGCATCAGCCAAACAGGAGTAAACAGCTCTCTCTCTCTCCGATAAACTAACGTTCACACAGACTGGTTCTGTGAAACCGGCGAGGCTGATGCAACCATCTGCTCTGAATCCAGGTTTATAGGCTGAGGTGACATCACTGCGACAAGGAGAGAAAGACCCCTATTCATTTCACCAACTGCAGCGGGGAAGAAGACTGATGTTGGCCGGACAGACAGGGTGGGGGATGGAGATGTGGAGGAGACGCTATAGGAGATAAAAACCTAAACAACTACACTGAAGAGATAAAGAATCAGTCCAAGCTGGAATAGTTGGCTGATATGATGCCATGCTGACAGATTCTTGCATCTCTAGATCTCACCTTTCTCTTTAATAAACCCTCTGAGAAAGTTTGACCGCTTAATGCATCTCAGTTTTGTTAGATATGTTAGATATGAATAATAGCCAAGAGATCATACTGTATTTCTCACCTCCATGATGGGGTTGGATGCTAAAACTTTCTCTTCTACGTTGGCCTCGCTGGCAGAACCACTGACGGTAGCGAAATACCTCATGGCATATTTGGCTGAGACAGTCTTTCCTGCTCCGGACTCTCCACTCACGATAATCGACTGGTTCCTCTCATCCCTGCAAAACAAAACAGATAAAAGAAACTGAAGCTGAGAGTCAAGAGTCAAGTTTAGGCTGTTTTTAGCCTAAGTTTATTTCACTCAATTTATATTAGGGTGGAGTTAGGATCGGATGACAACCAGTCATACAAACCTGAATATGTTCTTTCAAGAAACAGAGCTGGTAAAAATGTCACACCTTGCTGATTTAGCCAGGGTATGCCTGACGTCCCAGAATCTCCTAAAACGCTGAATTTTTAATGCATGTTTTCAATTTTGTGCGTATACTTAGAGTATTCATAATGAGTCCAGAGCGTATGTCCAACAACAGCCTAACTTCTGCATAATGCAGCGTAATGCAAGCCAGTGTCCTGAAGGGGGCAGCCATGCGCCGGGAGGCACCCGGCCTGCATAAAAAGATTTCTTTGATCGCGTTATTTACCTAGCTGCTGTTTACGTACCCATAACTTATCGAACGTATTCTAGCGTTTTTACACGTCAGGCATACGCTGGCTAATTTGTCAAGGTGTGAAAGAGGCTTTAGTCTATGAAGTTGTTGTTGTATGAGTTGTTTATGTTTTGTTGCAGATTCTAGGTCAGATATAGGTCTGTACTTTAACTAGATAATTTTAAGAAATAAACACGGCTAGGTCTAAATCAGAGGGATCCAAAGTGAGTCCAGAACCTTTTAGGAGTTCTTCTGCTTTGACACACTGTAGCCAATGATTTCAGTTCAGCTAAAGTTAATCGGCCACCAATGGGAATCAGGTGATCATCTTTGAGCAGCCACTGTAGCTCTGGCTTAGCTCCCCAAAAATGATGACCAGCTTTCCCCTGGAAGCCGAGGTAAATGTTTCCCTCAGCATACTGCTGCGGTTCCATAAATGTTCCAACTGGCACAGCTTCCTCCACATGAGGGGAGCCCAGGTCCAGTTAGCTCACTGTGTGGTGTAGAGGTTGCTGCGTCTCAGACTAAAAGAACGTGAGGAGCTAGGTGAAAACAGAGGAGAGGATCATTGATGCCCCTCTTCCCTCCATTAAAGACATTTCATCCCAGCCCTGCGTGTCCCGAGCCCGTCACATCGCCAATAACCCCTCACACCCCCCACCATGGACTGCTCTCCCTGTTGCCCTCTGGGAGGAGGCTTTGCAGCATCCAATGCAGTACCAGCAGGTTCTGCAACAGCTTCTTCCCCACTGCCATCACACTGTTGAACTGCTGAACTCTAAATTGGAATCTGCATCACATTATTTTGCACTACCAATATTTCTGAACTTTTATAATCCTTTTAATTGGGAGACAAATCAATGTTCCACTGCATTTGCACCATATTTATTTTGCACAGTACTGAACTTTTTCAGATCAATGCCCTTTTGCACCATTATTTAAACTGGTTCCTAGTTTTTCTACATTGTTACATTCTGCTGCATTGGTAATTTTTATCTACTCCAACTGTAATTTTACTACACTGTTGTAAGCTGTAAGCAATGTCACTTTGTTTTTTAAACACAGTGTGCATACAAAATGACAATAAAGTTTGTCTAAGTCTACATACAGCTTAATTCCCTCATTCATCTCACTGTATCAGTCAGTGAGTTAGAAACCAAAGCTCCCAGAAAACAAACTGGTTTCACCGTGGAATAAAGTTTGGCATCTTTTTCTTTGAGCCATGTCTGTTTTAGATCACAGGAACAGGGGGAGCGGACAGTGTGACCACCATGTGGCTATTTCTGTCTCCGTTCTGACCTACAAACCCTGAGGGGAGAGGGAGGGCTGAGCAACAGGCAGACCGGCTCCTCAGGTAACACACACACACTAACACACCTTGCCATCTGTTTGTAAGCCTCCTCTGCCACAGCAAAGATATGAGGGTCCATGTCTCCCATGTTCTGCCCGCTGTAGGCATTGATGATTTCACTGCCGTAGATTGGCAGTGTCTCATAAGGGTTGATGGCAACAAGAACGATTCCTGGAAGGGAGAGAAAAAGGGGAAAGAAATGCTGAAATCATTTAACATTAATGACAACATATTTTATCTGCACACTTTGAAGCTCGGCATCAGAAAACAACTTACCGCAGTAGGTGTAGATGAGTTTGGAGTCGATGAAGCGGACTTTAAGGTTGTGGAGCACGGCGGGCTCGTGGAGGTAGCTGAGAGCAGTGAGGTCATTCTCGCCCACCAGGATGTCTGGGTTCCGCAGGTAAGGCAGGTTCTTCGTTTTGGGGTCCAGCTTATGATCAATGCTCTGAGACAAGAAGTCAACAAAACAGAATCACAACTCCTATCAAACAACACAGGTCCGACTGCGCCTGACCGTTGCTCACTTTGGAGCATTTTGCAGTCAAGAGTCAAGTCCTTCATCTCCTAACCTGAGTGGAGGAGGGGAGGCATACACTGTGCGATATTTTCAATCGTTGCATGCAGCTACAGCTCACTGTACGATGAAACCTCAGGGTTTAAAAGTTCACAGCTCACGATGCATGTTCTAACACTCTGATGCAACCTTATGAAGGCCCACTGAACTTCAAACATGTTTGATTTTCTCCCGAACTTACGATTCCTGATCGTCGTGAGAGGCTGATGGCCCCTCGTTACTCCCTGTACACTACACGACGCACAATCAGGCTGAAAGTAAGCCTGATGCACGACTGGAGAATCGGCCCGAAAAGGGCAAAAAAAAAATTGTACAGTGTACGCCCAGCATAAGACGTTAGCCAGCTTCCCCTCCTTCTCCTAAGAGCCTCTGTTTGTGGTGGCTTAGAAGCACCGACCCAAAATCCAAGTCATGAATCTCCTTCACCTTTATTTCAACAACCGTTTTAAGGTTCTTTTCATCCCAGCTGCCTCTGCGCCTTTGTCTGACACTCAATTTTCCATTAAAATGCTTGAACACAGCAGGACTCCGTGTCTTACCATCCTTCTGCTGGCTGTCAGTGACTGTTTGACAACTGTTTATAATGTTTTAGGCCAAAACAGGATTATATTTTGGCTTTTTATTAAACTTATGCAGTTTCCTGAAAAAAATAGCCCTCTTTCTTTTCTTATCAGCTTTAAGAAAAATCCATTAAACCAGAGAGAAACCAAATGTCTGACGTTGGTGCAGAAAAAACCTAGTTTTTTTTTAAACTGAGCAAAAACAGGAGATATGTATAAGTGTTTGCTGATTCATTAGCGCATTCAGGAGCAATATCCTGATTCTTGCTCTTCCATTAGCTTTCCATTATTGTTTTGTTTGATTTGTTATTAAAAATTTCCCTTTTGTTTAAACTTTGATTTGTGTAACACTTTTCACTGAGTCATTTTTAATCGTGTAAATAATGGAATAAAAAGAAAAATCGCCTATAAGAATATCGCCATATCGCGGATGATTAGACTGTTGTCAATATAATCAGTCAATATATATGGACTTATCGCCCATCTATAGTGGTTTTTGGTCAGGTTGTGATATGGAGAACGAGCAAAGATGCTATTTGTTACACCATGGACAGATCCTTTGAGATCTCCCCCCTTTATGGAGCCCAGTGGGCAGAAAACTGATCCCATTGAACATCTTGCCTAAAAGCGCTGACTCAGCGATTGTCATAGCTGGTGCTACTGAGGCAGTGGAGGACAGGAGACTCGCTAACCCTGTACCAGTGAAGTACCTCTATCGCCATGAACTGTTTAAACCAATAAGAAAATTAAACTGCAATATTCGCTGTTCAACCCTACCAGGGCAGCACCAGGACAGTATTCAGACAAATATTCCAGACTTCAAAAAATAATCACAAGAAAATGTCAAAAAACTGCACATTAAAATAGCGCCCCAGTGGGCCGGTCCTAATTTCATTGTGCTAAGCCCGGCCCTCTTTAAATTAAACACTTAGTCTCTGGCCGAAGCACCTACCTATCTGTGACAGTAAATAACTCAAGCAGCTCAAGAAGTAATGCAATGTTAAATACCTAAATGATGCATGCAGTATATATAGCCCTTCCTTGTCATCCACATCTTTGTGACAGTTAACATATGGTGTCATTTTCTATTTCTTCAAACTGTAAAATCCTTGCAACAAACTAAATTATAATAAAACTAAAATGTTTTCTTTGAACCAAACTATGATGTTCCTCTTATATTTGGCCAATTTATGTTTGAATATTTAGCAAAAATATGTTGCGGTGCATTATGGGGTTTGGCATCTGTTTACATTATTCCATTTCATTGCCCACATGCTGCCTAGACTGGCAGTGAATGCTTACACACCGCTGAGCTTTCATGGATTTTCCCATTCCCCAGTCCATTCCCAGTGTATGTAAATATATATATGTCTATTAACCTAAAGCAGTATGCATGGTCTGGTTGTTCCATGTCAGGTACGCCGGTCATTGACCCTGACCAAGGTACCTTACAGTAGAACTGCAGTCAGTCCCTGGCTATCACTGCCCCTGCATAGTTAGGGACTCATTTCCCACTGGGATCAGCTTCATAATCATGGTAGGACGCTTCTTTGATTTTATTTTGTTCAGGCTATTCGTAAGCCCACAGCCCGCCAAATGTTAAAAGGTCAATATTATTGTCATTACTGTTAATATAAAGTAGAAATTTTACTCATTCAGTAATAAAATGTCACGGGATGGTATGGGAGGTGATGCTTAATTTAAGAAGGGGGATGATTTTTAAGATTTTTTTAGGAAGGGGCTGCCCCCTAATCCCCCCTCAACTCGAGTACAATATATATATTGGGGTGAGTTACACTTCAACATAAAACTGTAATGGCTCTATTAATGTTCTGATTATACTCATTTAGCCTAATACTCCTAACTTTACCTTATGTTACTTTAGAAAAACATCAAGACACTATTGTTGAATACTGCATTAAAGACTTAACTCATGATGACCTTATTAATTGCCATGGAACCTGAAGCTCAAGAGAAAAACAGGGCTTACTGTAACATCACAAGTCATTGGTCGTAACACCATTTCTCATTTAAAAATCATATACCAGTTTTTCTAAGCACTAACCACACATACATCGGCTATAACAGATTCTGCTGTTTCTCTCCTTGACTTTTTGCACCTTGGTAATAAGATCTTTATCATATTTAGGTATATAATACATGGATTGTATTATACTCAAGTAGATTGAATGCATGAGACCAGAATAAACATGAAATGCCAATTTTGCATCCAAACAATTTAATACAGCAGTTTAGCTCTCACTGAAACAGCGACTGCAAATCATATTTAGCAGCTCTGTTGCCAACCAATCCTCACACTGAAGCTGCTTTTAAGAAACACTAAAAATCATGCCATGGGTTTCGACCTTCTATGATTTTAATCATTTTAGAGAAAACTTGAATAATTAACAATGCAAAAACACTTTCTCCACATCTTAAAATGTTAAATTATTGGATATCTGCTACTTCAAATCTCAATAAAACAAGTTCAAGTTTCTGCAAGAAAGTCGACAAAATGGGAAAAAGCTAAAAAGAATAAAGGCCATGACTCCTTCACCTAGTCCCTGTAGTTCACTATAAGCCTCAAGCATTTTTTTTTTTTAAAGTTCAGTTAAATTGGAGGTAAATAAAAGGTAGAAACAGCATTAATCTTATAGCACAATTAGCTGCTTAGAAGTCTACTTAATGATGCCGGTCCAGCATTTCTGATCCACTCTATTCTTTTTTTAACAGCAACCCAGTTCTAGCAGTCAATTTTGTGCCAGTTCATCATTAAAAAGTAATAGCTTAAAGTTCAGTTCACACTGATGAAAATGAACTAGCTCATCATGAACTAAGTTCACAAACCTATAAATGAACTAGTTCAAGTTCATTTGCTAAATGAAGCCACAATCGTCCACAATAGAAGCTCATATTTTCCCTCTTTAAATGTGTGATCATAACATATAGAAAGAAATAGAAAATACTGGATGCAGTCAAGGTTTACTGGATGTGCAGTGAAGTCTTTATTTAGCCGAATTACACAGAACTTCAGAAACATTCATGAACATTCAGGTTCTGCCGAAAAGATCTGGATCCAAAATTATTTTTTTTACAATCCCTCATTTAGTAGCAGATATTTCCCAAAATTTCTGGGATGCTTTGACTCGATGTGTCGATATAAATGTGAACTGGATGTGGCTGACAGGCGGATTTGTTTGCCAAGTCCCGGTGGGAACAGTTTGCACAAAAACGTGAGTTTTATTCTGTCTGAGTTTTCCTTTTGTTAGTTCATAAATCTCTGCTAAACTGGCATCAGAAATACCAGCAGATGAGTCGAATCTAAAAGACTAGTACCAACAGTAGACATGCTGGTCTGTCAGGCTGTTTGACGCAATAAGTGCCGTAAAACCCGATGTTATCCAATGCAGTGCCGTTATAAACTGAACGCTAATGTGAGCTGTGTGAGTCGCTCATTCTTCTCGTTGATTACTCCAAAACTGATCTGTTTACAAGTTAATTGAACGCCATTCATTGAACACGTTCATATCCAACACTGCCAGCGATTTATTGCGATTTTTAGGCAGCAGCTATAGCTTAAATCATATTCTAAAATTTCTGTCTGTGGTTCACTTGAAGGTGTTACTTCCTTATTTATGCTGCTAATATTCACTTCATTTGTTAAAAAATAATATGAAGTATATTTATAACAGTTTTTGATTTGCCTATGTTTAAAAATCCTGATTGCTTTACTCACACAGGTATTAAGTTTATTTATTCAACAGCAGTATCGGATTGATATCGGCTGATGGGCTCAGCCCAGGTATCGGTATCAGATCGGTGCATCTGTGTACCGTAGATATTCTGGTTCTCCAACCAAACCGCATAAAGATTCCTTTTTAGCTTGTTTCGCTGAATACTGTTTCACAGAAAGCTGTTGGCAAAATCTGGGAACATTAAACATTTAGATATGCAATCAGAGCCAAACAAAAGACCTCTTTGATGTGTTCGTGGAGCTTCTGGCTGCATTTTAAATTATCACATGCATTTTAAAACCCTAAGGGCATCCATTTACAAATAGTTTGGCTACCTTGTGCAGTCAAAAAAGTGCCTCTTTCTGACTGCTTAAAGGAAGAAGTGAGTTCATAGTGGTTTGTGTTTAATGGAAACAAATTAAATGTGGTGAACCTTTTAAAACGCTCCTTGGAGGCGTCTTGGCTTCAAATTCCCATTTGTGTGTTAATGGTTCGACCACTAATGAGATGCAGCAAAAGCAGAGAGGAAAAAAGAAATCCGGGCAGATCATCCCTCTGTTATTAAATGATCTCACCGTTCCGTCCTCCAGCATGAGCTGCAGCGAGGCGTCGCCATTTTTGTAGTCCTTGGTGAGCTCGGCAGACTTCCACACCTCCTCTGCATCAGGGATCCAAACCCGAGCAGACTAGAAGAAAAAAAAAGACAAACACATTAATTTGATTTTAAATTTTTTCTTTATATTCCATCCAGTTTCCAAGAGGACAGAGTGAAAGCTAAAAAAAAAAAAAAAAAAAGATGGCAGGAAAGCTTCCTTCCTCCCTCTCTGCCAACAGCATGACTTTGGAGAAAACAGAGGTCTCTGTGTTTCCACAGTCATGAGCACATGGCTCATAACGGTCAGGAAAGTGGTGGGAACCGTCCATGGAGCTGATAAACTAAGAATGCAGCTGGGAAAACGTCTCGCAGACAGACATTACTATCAAACTGCTTCAGCCTTGCAGACGTGTGACGTAATGCGAGCAGCTGATGCTGTCAGACCGCTGGGAAAACGCCAACATACACATTATCTGATTGGCTGCAAATTCAAGTTTCAGAAAGGAAACCCGGATTTATTCAGGGAAATCGAGCAAATTTCCACTGAAAACATAAGAAATGAAAGAGCACATGGTTTTTTAGGTGAACACCAAGTCAAAGTAGTAAATTAATATCACACTAATAGGACAAAGCTATTATTTGAAACTATAACCTGACAGCTCTTCTTAAAGTCACAGTAACATCTAAAACAAATCAATTGAGGGAGTGACGGCCTAGTGGTTAGAGAATAGAGCTTGGAATCCTGAGGTTCTGAGTACGAAACCCACTCCAACAGAATGCCACTCTGGGTCTCTGAGCAAGACCCTTAACCCCACACTGCTCCCCAAGGGGATGAGTTCAATGCAGAGGTAAATTTCTCCAGTATCAATAATATCAATAAATAGAGTAAATAAATCAATAAAGTTCAATTATTCAAATTTTTATTCTAATAATAATTAGTGAAGGAATCATTTTAATTTTACACCTGGTGCAGTTTCATAAAACTTTATTCCACCAACATGAGCATTTTAGGTTTACAACAATTTTGAGGGTTGGAACATAAAATGAGAGATCGTTCTTTCTCCGTTTTGTTCTGCAAAATCTCTCTAGATTGGATTTTTTTTCTGCTGCCATCTTGTCTTCCACGTTTTCTAAAGACTTCGGGGCTGTGGACTGATAACCCTGGAAGGGTTTTCTCTGCTGTCAGTGTTGATTTGACCAGATATTTCTGACCATTATTCTAAAGGAAGAACTTCTTTTTTTTTTTAAACTGTACATTTAAAAAAAAATTCTGTGTCTGTAGAAGGGCAACATTCACACAGCATTACGAACCTCCACCATGCTTAACTCTGGGGTGTTTGCTACGATTTGTCTCTCTCCAGAAATGAAGTTCAATTTTAACCCTTACTTGACCAAAGCACTTGGATCCAGATGAAACTTTAACAGAAATTTGCAAACTTAACATTTATACATTAGTAATGGTACAATAGAAATGAATTTACTGAGCAAGCATCCCAAATAATTGTTTTGTATGAAGGTTTTAAGGAGACATAGTGACTCTAAGATGACGCTGAATTAAACACTAATTAAAACTGGGACTGATATTGTAATCTTAAAAATGGTGTAAAAATATTGATTTATTTAATGTCTTTTATACGCCATTACATTTGTTTATACATGTTCTCGTCCTTTGAGAGAAAAGCTGCATGTGTCAGAGCCTAAAGAAAAGCAAAAATCGGTTTCTGATAAGTGCATCTTTATTCATGTTTCTGGATAAATGGCGACCAAATGCAGGGAAACTGCTGGGTGAGCGGGCAACTACAGTAAAGATCAAACACCTGATAGCTAAAGCCTGAAGGTTATCTTCAATCTGTGAAAACAAAGAAAAAATGAAAAATAACCAACAGGAATAAAACTTTCAAGACGTCGACGGTTGAAAAAAAAGAAAAGATAATAATGAAGCTCCATCAGTCAAACTTTGGAAGCTCTAGTGAAGAGGAACTCAAATTCAGACGTTCAAAGCTCATTTTTTGCTTTGTTGTTTTTCTCAAATCCTCCTGAAAGTGAGCTCCCATCACTGAAATATTTAATTACGCTTCATGGATAGGGCAGGCTGGAGCACATGACGATGAGAGAATTTCTGCTGCAAGTCTGATGAAGAATTTCACCTCTTTTTTTTTTTTTTTTGCCCTCCTTACATAAACTGCTGATGACGATTTGACATAAGCCAAAGAAAGAAGCCTCATTGTAGAAGCTGGGTTTATTACGTCTGATGCTCCTTGACTGATCTTTTAAATCATGACTTCCTGGTCACACAAACACTCCTCCACCCGCCCCACTTCTAATAGAACATTAGCAGGAAATGGAGGCTATGGTGGAGACACTGGAGATTGGGCTTCCCCCTAATAAGACCATCAAATTTGTTAACTTAACTGTAAATAAAGGGCACAAATATAAAAGATGGAAAAAGGTCCCCATCATTGTGCAGTAAACTGACATTTGATACATCAGCCTCCATTTTAGTGAAAAAAAAGGATCATTAGGTAAAGGATAAAATAATTATAAACATCTCCCCAATGAATACATTTAAACAAACAAGGTAAAGATCTGAATTCAGAAAACTAAAAATTGAAAAGGAAAAGACTAAACAAAAAAAAAAAAGATTTTATATGAGTCACAAATGTTTTTATAGTTACTTCCTGCTTATTTGACAATTTATTTGCAGAATTAAGAATAGTAGACTAATGTGCTCATAAAAGAGCAATTGTAACTTAAAAACAACAAAAAAATAATTAAGGCCAAATTCCTCTCCGTTTTTTTCCCCTAAATATAAAAACCATAATGATAAAAATGGTCGTTTGATATACTGTAGCAGAAAATATAAGAATAAATTAGATAACTACCAATGTTGCATCAAAGCATATATCACTTACATCTCTCCTATTTTCACCACAGAAGCAAAGAACGCCTGAATTTTAACCCGGTTTATAGAAGAAAAACAATATTTCTTTAATGCATTTTAGCACAAAAAAGTGTCGATTCTGATCTCGGACTAGCTGATTTAGGCAACACTAATCTATTTGTAATCTATGAATAACTTTAAGGAGGTTAAGATCAGTTTCTGCTCTTTAACATTATGCCAGATTAGCACAATCATAAGTAACCTCCAAAAACATTGGCTTTTCGCCACATAAAAAATTTATCTGAAAAAATCTCAAAGTAAAGACTGCTTTCTACAAACCGATTTCAATTAAACAAAAAATATATAAGTAATTGTTTGTAAAATTATTCACCAGTTGTTAAATTGAATGTCTAATTCAATACAGGTCAATCTGATTGGATCGGTATAGAATAGTCTGACTTCCTGACTAACGCTGAGCCCTGAAGATGTATAGACACTCTAAGGAACTCAGGAAAAGAGTTTTTAAAAGTATGATTTAGGAGATAGATGTCAAGAACATCCCCCAGAGTTCAGTGAAATCAATTAAATAAAAAATGGAAGGAATATGGAGCGAGTGAAGCCGCTTATTACCCCTACGGCTGAATGACTTACAAGCTCCAGTTGCTGAGACCAGTGAGACTGAGCAGACAGAAACTGATGCTTTATGTGAGAGTGGTGATGAGAAATCCTGCATAGAAGAAAAATCTAATTATATCTCTGCTAGAGTTTGCTAAAAGGCAGGTGAAAGACTCCATGGTCAGGTGGAAGAGGACTTTTTGGTCTTTAAAACAGACCATCCCCAATGCAAACACCTTTGTCCTACAGAGAAGTAGTGGCTGGACATGAAATAGCTTTTAATACCTGAAACAGGTACAACTTGACACCCTGAGCAGTTTGCAAAGAAGAATTTAGCTAAATTTGCAGTGTGTGATGATATTCCATCCTGATAGAGAAGCATCCACGGAATCAGTGCATTGATTGACCTAAAGAGATAAATAATAGTCTAACTAACCATTAGGTTTATTTAGATTTTTGTTTCATTTTGTAAAAATTTTTTCCCACTTTTTTCCTAGTCAATCTTTGTGTGATGAAAACCAAATTTGATTAATTTAAGAGAGCAATTAAAGGGGTCATAGAATGATTCTATAGGGTATTAGGTGTTGGTCCTTAAGGTCTCTGAATAGGGTGTGTAACATCTGGTTGGGCTGAAAATGGCATATTAGCTGTTCTATGAGCCCTAATGCAAGCCTGGCTAAAAGCTCTAGAATTAAACGACAGGTTTTCTTCCCTTTATGGTATGCTCATGAATATTTAGATGAGCTGTGTGCTGATTGGTTGGTTTACAACGAGCGAAGCTGCTGAGCAAAGACGCATCGTAGCAACAAGCACTCACTCACTGAAACAACAAACTGTTGATATGGTAGGGTGACCAGACGTCTTCTTTTTCCCCAGACATGTCCAACTTTTCATACCTAAAATAATGTCTGGGGGGAATTTCAAAGTTGTCTGGGCATTCGAAACACACCGGGCATTCGAACTGAGCAGTCAGCTCTGGGGCTGGTCCGGGAACACCGGTGGACAGGGGCAGGGAGTCAGCGGGGGATGGAGCGACCGAACCTGACCAGGTGACAGTAGCCTGGACGATGGTGGCCCCCCGTGTCCAGGCTACCGTGCTCCCCCCCCGCCTGCCATACCGGCACCCTCCTCCGGCTGAGGACGGGCGACTCATGGCTCTCTGCTGAGGTCCGGTCCAGTCAGCGGCATAGATTTCAGGGTGTGACAATAGTACAGGCCAGAACCAATTCGTTTGGATTCGCCCGTTTTATGGTAGAAGTTTAGAATTGTGAGATTTGCAGGGAAAGGAGGAGTCGATGGGGTTTGAGCTTCTCTGAACGTCTATTTCACCCACTATACTATCGTTATTCATCTATGACAATGTAAACTCTGTTTTACATTCTATGACCCCTTTAAAGGATAAGACATCCAAGGGGGTAAGTACTTATGATAGGTAAGTACTCTATGCCTTTGGAGAAAACTTTTGATCAAATTACAAATAAAACAAACCAGCAGATCAAACAGCAATTCTTAAAAGTTTCAAACATCTAGATGAATTTTCAGGCTCCATTGTAAATATAAGTTTTAACTAACCTTAAAAGAAATGAATAAACCAA